AAATCTACAACCAAACAATAAACTACTTTTTATTAGACTAAAAGGAAAAACAACATTATTAAAATACTTTATTGATTGTAATAACAAGTTTAATCTATTAAATTCATGTGGTTAAATGATACAATTTTACAATCTACCACTTATATAATAAACCATAAGGAAATTTACTATTACTAACTCATTTAGTAAAATTAATCATAAAACAACTATATTACAAAACATGAATTGACTTATAATTGTTAATTACTTGATTTTAATCAAATAAAGCAATGAAAAGTTACAAGGTAATAATATCACAGTTATACAAGAAACTAAAACGAACTTCATCATTAGTAGCAGATTTCATTATTTATTACCTATTCATATTGTAACAGACATAATTTACAAAGAAATCTATATTACAACAACTCATTAAAATCGTGAGGTTTAACGTTAAACTTTCATAATCTAAAACTTGTGAAAGAGAACACAAACAAATACAGAATTATTAACGTTTACTTGCAATTGCAATTTGTATATCTTTAGTTAAAAAAAAATGAAATTTCTCGTATAAACAATAATTAGAAAATCTTAGAAAATGTGCATTATAAACAACCGTTTAAGTAAATACATTGTTTGCAAACGTAATTATAAAGTATAAAAGCAACTATTATATCATTTAGATAAAAAAAAAGAAACAAGGTGTGCAAATGCATACATACTAATTTGATCATGTGTTTAGTTTCGCTTATTAATGCAATAGAGATGAGTCAAACGCGTTAGTCATGAGTAACAATAATGATACACCTTCAATTTTATGTTTTTTTTTTTGTTGCATATATTGTGTTTTTCCTTTATTAAGAGACATCTTGACATTTAAAGACGAAATTCATATGTGATATGACGTAATTATATGAGACATGCTTGCATGATTTTATGTATACGCTTGGAAAGCAATTTAATGTTTTGCAACAGGAATGTGCACAAGTTTAATCCCGTTTCGCACTTTATGTTGGAAGAGAGTTTATAGTATGAAAGTAAATTAAATTGCATTTCAGTACGTCGTTAATTGGCTAAGTAAATGACGTAAACAAGAATTTTAGTTTGAAATTACGTACAATTTCTTTATTTTACAACTTTTCGCTGAAATAGCATTAAATTAAGTATTATCTTGATGAAAGAAAACTTAACTACTTTTTTTTATCCAAATTTGTTATTACTATTTAAATATTTTGATTTTTATCGTCAATTTTTAATAAGAAAATATATACGCCTGTTTTCTGATGTCATCTCTGGATTATGATGAGTTCTCTAATATATTATGTAGCAAATGTCTGGTTTGATGTTCTTTCTTAACTTTATAAAAAATATATGGAAATGTTGCATTAATGTTATTAACTAGTACAGTATTAGTTCATTGCTGAAAAATATACGGTGCAGCATCGATTTTAGAATCACTCTGTTCCCAAACAATTTGTTTATCGACTACAAACGTTTCGTATTTCGAACATAAATAATTTCGATTCTCCTATAGCACTGGCATATACTTAGATTATAATGGTTTTCGGTTTACGAACAAAGTATTATGTTCGACAATATATTACTTTTTTTATTTATGAGTATTAGTAGTGAAGTACGTACGTTAGTATTTGGAAGATACACAATACAAAATAAAGTCCATTATATTCGATAATCTCGTGTTAATTATAGAGACTTTAAAACTAATCTCGGAACGTAGAAATCGATTAAACTTGGATTATATGAATTTGATATGCAGGATTACTTCAATTTAATACCCTGTACTTTGGAACTAGTTTAATGCATCCTCCAGATTTAATCAGAATATTTTACAATGCTTTAAACTTAACTTCATATAAAATAAAGTGAAAAGTGGATTTTTTAATTAAAAATGTATGCATTAGTTACAATTAATTTACATTTATTTAACAAAAATTGGATGAAAACTAAATCAAATAGAATAATAGATCAAAGGTAAGAAAATCAACAATAAAATAAAAGTTAATTTATCCCAGAATCATATATAATTAATTTGGAAAACTATACTTGAGTTTTCTAAATTCGTAGATTTAATAATAGTAATATTGCACATGTTGAATATTTGCACAGTAATTAAATGCATTGAATTATGAACTAATTCTGAACTGAAATGTTGCAATTGCAAAAAATTGTGAAGAAATTGTAACGTTAAGAAAAGTGTTAAAAAATGTAAACCAAAATATATATTATAAAGTAAACATTTTGTATTAATTAATCAATGTCAATTTTATATATAAGGTGTGATGTAAATGATTTTATGATTACACTAAGAAATATGTAAATTAACAGATTATTCTAGATCATAACAAATCAATGCATTAATTACTTTCGTTTAATACCTTGTAGAAAATACGTTATGACACAAAGAACCAAATAAATTAAGTAGTATTATAGAAAAAATAATAATTTGCAAAATTATTTTTTATTATTTGCAAGTTTATTTAAATATATTTCATAAAACTGTTCTTTGTTAGAAAAAAACCTTTTCATTTTCTTTACGAATGAACGTATTATACACATCTAAAAATGAAGTTTCCCTTAACGAAGTAATTTCAACAAAGTAATATACAAAAAATATATTAAATTAATTTACATAAAATCAATAAAAAACACAAAAAACAAATTGGGTATGTCTTAGAAATATGTTTATATATAAAGCAATGAGACAAATTTATTTACATGTGAAGTGAACTCGATGTTTTCATGTTTATTAATAAAATAAATTATATTCAAATGATGACAAAGAGTAATGACTTCAAATGTAATTTATTAAATTAATGATAATAATGAAGGCATGCAAGAAACTGGTGTAACCGTATTTGTAGATTATGTGCAAATTGGGACAATCGAAATTTTGGTGTGTGTGTTTTGTGTATCGCTGACTTGAAAAGCAGCAGCACACGCTCGAAGGTCATGCAATTATTATTAATCGCGCGATAAAGTGAGAGCCTGGGCTTCATGCGAGAGACGGAAAACCATTGATACGGTGTAATCGGAACAGCTAAATTTAATGATCAAGGGGGACCCTGTCATGTGTCGACGAGACATCCACCACCAAAAAAAATAATTAAAGATTTCATATTTCCATGCTGTCAAATTTTTATAAAGGAAATTGTTCAATCCATTAAATCCATGTGAAAAATTATGTTTTATTAGTATATTATTTTCAGTTTCAAATGAATCTAAAAATACATTTTGTGATAGTTATAAATTTGAAGCTCGAATATGTTTTAAGGTAAATTCAAACTCAATAAAAATATACGCAATAAGTGATGAATAACAGCGACTTTGTAGCAAGTAAATTTATCCAATTTACACGATGATTAATTGTCGTTTTATTCGCCAATGAATATTTATCAAATAAAGCATTGGAAGATCTGCAGATCTATGTAAAGATAGAATAGATTTTGAATTGGTATTACTCGATGTTCGATATTTCATAATATAATGTAAATAATGTCAGCGATATGTACAAGACAAACCTAAAATTATAATACATTCCCAAAACATTTCATAAAAAAAAAGATAAATATAAGTTGTCATAATATGTTTGTAGAAATATAAGTAAAATCCTCTAACCTGCTCGATATAAACTAGTTATAAATCGTTACTTGGATAGGTCCAGTAATTCTTATTAATAAACCTGCAGAAGATTGTTAAAAGATGATTAACTTTCAGTAAAATGATATTTCGGGTAAGAAAAATCAGTTAACTTATTTTGAAGACAAGTTGATATAATTTATTGTTAAAAGAAGATAAAAATAAGAGTAGACTGACCGAGAAAAAATCAAAAATTAACTTAAGACAAGAGTTGAAATTATACGTCAAAGAAATGCGTTCATTAGACATGTGAAATAAAAAGTCATGATATACGATTGCGAAGTATGAAGGTATAAATGGTTTCATATATTTTTATTTTCAGCTTGTTATTTTTGACCTTTTTATGCAATCTCAAAATGTTCTTTCATCTTTGTGAGATTGTCATGTATGTTAGAATAAATGATATATACTTATGAAAATAAGTAAAAAGATCAATATATATTTAGGCAAACAAAAAAAATCATACACATTAATGATAATTAGGAAATAGATCTTGCTGAAGTATTTGAAAACAAGTCTACACTTAACAGTTATTTCTTATTTAATATAAATATAATTAAAATCTTCCAGTTGTTCATAAAATGTATATTTTCGAAATGGAAATAACATTTAAATGTCCACGAAAAATAGGTCGATAACGCGAAAAGAATCTTCAAAAATGTAAGTTAATAAATTTATCAAATCAAATGGATATATTATAAATAAATTATCACAAATGATAAAACATTTTTAGAATTTGGATAACTCATCATTTCTATCCAGCTCTAAAATCGTTGTTTTATTCATGCAACCGATACTTGAAAAGACTAGAAACTCATCCCTTAAGTAATCAATTCCTTAACTAACTTTATCCAATCTGCTCGATATAAATAGTCGTTTTATTCATGCAATCGACAATTGGAAAAGATAGGAAATAGCTTTAAGAAAAAGAAATCCGCAAATGAGAAACTTATTTAGGATAAATAAGTTTCTACCGACAAATAAATTAGTACGTGTAATAAAAAGTCCTTGAATTATGTTTAAACAAGTTAATAAAGAACTTGAAAACATTAGTAGTACACTCCCACTTTTAAACAGCTTAAATTCAATAACTAGCTGCTATATTCCAAATTTTGTTGTTATTGAAATATATTTCCAATAAGGATTTGTTTCTTAATCTATTGAGTTTAAAATAGTTTTAAATATGAAGGTTTAATTTATATTAATAGATTTAGAATTAAATAGTTTGGAATTTAAATCTAATTAACTTTTTTGTTGTTTGTGATCTTTCCTATAAGAATTGGTTTCTTGTTGTAATGGGTTTATCAAACTCAGAGCGATAAAGTTTAAAGGCGAGTCCAGAGCAAAGTGTTTGTAAGACTCACCCTTTTGACTTGGAAGTGCTCCGGCCTGAGGGTCTCCTGGATCTCCTGGTCGGCGCGGGCCTGCTGAGCAACGGAAGTGCGAAAGTTGTCGAGAACTCCTTTGATCGTGAACTTCTTCATGGTAGGATCACGGTCGCGTTTCATCACGTTACTGACTCCACGGAGAGCGATGGGTGGTTGTTACACCAGGGGATGTTCGCCGCCGGCGGACCGGAAACAGAAGGCCCGGGTTTTCCGCACTAGCTTTTGAAAGTGGTGTTTGCCGGACACGCGCGCGCTCTTTTCAAATTAAGCCATATCGTCACGGACGGCCGCACGCCACCCCTCAACCTCGAAGATTCGAATACCTCTGCTGCAGGTGAGGACGCTGGAGGAGTTTGGAGGGTGCTCCTGCTTCGCTCGGTGGATGAGAGATGAAGTGTGCTGCGGAGGTTGTGCCTCTGGGACGATGCGGGACCGCACTCAGGGTAGTTCTGGATGACGAACGAGAGGAGGATGGTTGGTTTCTGCCCACCCGGGGTCTTCGCCAAGATCGCGAGTCGCGCGCACTCTACCTCCACATCCGGAAGCAACCCCCCTCAACGCTCGCTGACACACATATACAGCATGTACACACACGCACACCCAGCAAAACCACCCTCGTCCGCTCTGAACGCGCGTACTACTTACGTAGAATACCAGAACCCTTGGACCGATTGATAGAAGGAACTAGGCACCGCGGTGAAACCCTTCTCGCCCACACATCCACACCTACCTTTCTTATCGGACCGAAGACCACAAGAAAAAATTGTTTGCGCTACGTGTGTACATTCAGCATACATGTAAATATAATATATACATACATACATCTATCTGTGTGTGCATGTGTATGAACCAATACGTTCAGGCTTTTTGACAGATCGATATGACACCAAACACATGTTGCATTTGCGTACTGGCCACGCTGTTGCGCTCTCACTCTTGCACACGAACCAGGGGCGGCAGCAACAAACAGAGAAGGCCGCGGCGGTGCGATTGCGGCTGCGAACTCCGCAGGACGCAGTTGCCGCATCGCAGCAGAAAAAACCAGAAACCAGGATAATACGCCTCTGTGCCTTCTCTACATCAAAAACAATCGAAAGCCCATACACCAACCGAGAAAAACACTAACAAATGATCGATTACCAATGTTCAGTAGAGACGCGAAAACGATCATAATCAAATATCATTAATGACATCCGAAACAAGCTTCAAAGAAACTTCATTTTGTTGTAGATTTCATAAGCGACTAGTGAAAACGAGTTACAAACATTTATAAACATTTTTTGTCAACTTCCACCTAAAGTTACATCCACACTACACCTGACAAAACAAATAATTTCAAATGCATTTTACCATATCAATAGTTGGTAATCCTGACTTACATTTAAGTTTCAAATCACAAATAGTGTGTACGTAACAGACTACAATTGAATTCAAGATATATAAATCAACAGTCGCATTTGCTGAAGATTTCACGTAAAAAATCAATGCTCAGCACAGCTTACGTATTATTTTTTATACTCTCTCCACATCTGACAACGCAGCGTGCGTGATATTTACATGCTCGAAAACAGCTGATTTTAGTTTTGGACAGCGCTGCGTGACGCGCCGCTTAACCTATCTTTTCAGCCGCCGATTTAATCCAATCTAAGCAGTGAAACTAACTACTTAAGTCTGATTTAAAGATGTATATCAAAGTGTTCCTGAAGAATTGCGCGCTCTCGTGCTATCAGCGACAGAAAGGCCTTTCCACTTTAAGGTAACCAGCAAATTTAGGTCATCCAAACCATTATCGTTCGTAAACGATAACAATAGACCAGAAATACCACACGGTCAGATACGATTCAATCGTCCATTTTTCTATTTGCTTCTTACCGCATCCAGCTACTGGTATTTACTGTTAAAGTAACAAAAGATTAACAAATTATTATAAGTAATTCAATGAATATATGACTTAATTATGTCATGATTTATATAATATTTTTCCTATGTTTATTCATCATCAACAAATGTTTTATGACTTGTTTAATTTACTTAAGCCATTGACAAACAAAATACAGATCATCGCAATGTGCAATAAGAAACTCAGAATAAATATATTGATTTTAACATATTCACAATTATATGACATGTTTCATCATTGTTGTTTATCATTTACAAGAGTTTTATAACTTCTTTATTTACTCAAGAAAATAAAGAAGCATTAAAGCAATAAGAATACACGCAACCAAATTCACACAATTTGAAAAATTAGGATAGAGCAGTAAGACTTCATGGTGAAATATTATTTATTAATGATTTCTACTATGATTCGTGTGCTGAAACTCCGAAGCGCCGGTTTGAAAATTGTAACTTTTTGTTACGCTTTGTCGACACCATTCTAGTAACAGTAACTAACTTTATTAGAGTTAGTATAACAACAAAACAGTAGTTGGTGAAATTGCGCTTAGGCGTAATCTAAGTGATGTTGGAAGGCGTGGGAGAAAGAAGAACAATTTATTGATTATATTAGTTGTTTCATGATATCTTTACTTAAATATTTTCGACCCTATTTGTTTTGTTTACATCAAGAAGTTAAACATACCATGAAGTTTAAAACTAAATTCTCTAATTTCAAACATGTTTGATTTTAATACAAATAATATTATTTAACAAAACCAGATATATTTTAATTTGACAATTTCTGGATAGTTTTATATTGTTAAAAAAAATGTGATCTGCGTTAATTAATTTAACATCAATGTTTCATTGATAGTTATTACTTAATCTGGAAAAAGAATATATAAAATATTCATTACATACACAGAGCAATCAAATTTAAGAATTATTATTCAAAAGACATACTGGTCTTCTTAAGAAATAATAAAATAATCATCAATTCTATCTCGACTTCCATCATGCATATTGGTTCTACGTAAGGATTTGAATTTTCATTAGGTTAATGTACGCAACCCAAATCACTTAAATTAATGGATTGTATTTCAAAGAAAGTTTACGTTCTGAATATATTATTATTAAAGGGTACTTGTATGAAACAATTGATTTCAATATAATTAAATTAAATACAAATAAATATTTAAAATAAAAACTTGCAAGAATCATGCATCTTATGTATGCAATGATAGTTGCTAAGTTTTAAGCAATTTTGTTTCGTTTTTAGATATTATTTATATATTTTTTCAATTTATTTGAAATAAAGAAATCATAATCTCCTGATATAGTTTGGCTTCAATAATTCGCAATAGATCGGTCTCAGTTTATATTTTTGTATATACAGTGGAACCTCTCTTAACGAGCATTTCACTTAAATGAATTGTAAGAAAAATGATTCGCTTAACGAGCGACGTTTCGCATAACGAGTGACGATGAGAACAGAAGTCCCGGATTGTGTGCCTGCTACATCATTTTCTTCAATTGTTTCACTATACAAGTAAAAATCTGGAAATTTTGGAACGGTTTCAAACAGTCCGGTATATTGGCGGATACAATTACTCGTACTTTGCGAAGAATAGTTAATAATAATGAAAATATTGCACTCGAAACACGAGTAATCTATAAAATAGGCATTTTCTGTTCAGTTAAGAAACACCATTTTTTACTTGTTTGTCTAACAAGTTTTTTTCCATCTTCTTACTACCCTATTTCGGCTTCGGAAATTGGAACTTATCGATCGATCCTAACACTTAGCGAGATGAATGATCCCGATGATTTACATCCTGTCGTGACTCGCTCTTGTTAGATTTTTGTATTGGTTTACAGCAAAGTTCAATTCATGAACTTTCGTATCGGTTATATTGTCAATAGCAATCAAGTAAAAAAATAGTTGCATATAAAGATAATTTTTTCTTTTAATATTTTAAAATTTAGATTCAATGTTATTCGGTTTTATATAATTAATATTCAAAATAATAATATGAAAACTATTTTTAGAAAATACCCAACATTTATACAACATTATTTAATTAAAATGAACTAGAATAATTTTTCTAAAAAAAAACTACTACTTTATAAATTTCTTTGAAAATTTCATTAAATAAATTCAATTTGTTTCTTGATTTGTCCGGGATATTGGCGGAAACCCATTTTTCATTGAACATTACATCTATATTCTCTAAGTGTAGCAAGATCAATTAATAAAAGATGATTTTATTTGCTCATTAGTTTTTTTTGTAAATTAAGTAATTTGTAGAAAATAGTATAATTAATACTAGTGGCTTGCATTTTAATATAATTGTTCCAGATTTTCTGGTTTAAAGTTCAGTGCACAATAATTACAATTGGCTTCCTTTAGATATTTTATATAACTTTGCCTTTACATATTTCACGTTACGCCGGATTACACAAAAGTCTGTAAAACGTAATCTCCCAGTTATCTAGGCCATTGAACATCTTTATCTCTTGCTCAAACGTACGACTTTTAATGAAAATTAACGTCTGCTTTAAACGTTAATTATTAAATTAGAGTTAACTAATTTAAAATAATAATAAACATAATTTATTGTACAATAGAATATAAAGGAATTGATTGCAGTTTTTCCATCCATGTAAATTAGCAATAATAATACATAATAATAAAATAAACATAATACAAAAAGTGAAAAACAATTATTATTGTGTTTGTTCCGTTTAATCGGGACTAGTATATTTGTCCCGATTAAGCGGCTGGCCCAATTATCCAAAGTTCCATTTCCATTTGTTATTCGCTCGGTTTTGTTTCTGTCCTTTAGAATTTTTGCAATTTTACTAATTATGGTCGCCTGTATCACGAAAATTTGATACGAAAGGTCGTTGGTTCAATTCCGAAAAATCAACAAAAATTTGTGGTGGCTGTTAAACCCGAAAGGGGTAGAAATAGGGCCGGACATATTTATATCAATAAATAAAATTGATATAAATCTCTTTAAAAAAAAATTACTAATATTCGACATTAATATTTTAAATTAAAATGTGGGATTATTATATAGAAAAAATATTCACAAAACTAAGTGCCAATATATAATTCAATTTCGTCTAGTTGAGGAAAATTAGATTTCAACAACTGTGGTTGCCTATATCTCATATACTTTTTTTTACTATAAATCCGACACAAAAGTTTCTAGTTCGAATCTCAATAACTAAAAAAGGGATATGAGTTTAATTATGAAATATTATAACATGAACGTTACATTAAAGTATAAAATATTTATTTAACAATTTTCATTGTCCCATTTTGGACCAGTCTTTCAAATATTTTGACAATTAAAAAAATATATCATTAAAAATCATAATAAACTAGTTAATTTTGTTAATTAGTAAGATTACTTTTCATTGTATTCAAATATTTCATTTTCTAAGTACCATTCTATTTTTTTTCTACAATATTTGAATTCATATTTCTATTTGACTAAATAGTAAAAAAATATCTAATTTTAAAATAATATCAATAACGGTATTTGTTTTATATTATATATGCATTTACCAGTTTGGTTGGTAAATGTAAATATGAATCTGAGATCAGCTTGTAAAAGTTAAAAATAATAAGTGTGATGCACTTTATATTAAGGTTAAAATGTGCTTGAAATAATGTTTACTATTATTTTTATTTAAACACTATTTTATAATAATATATAAAAGAAATATTAAGTGTGAACCAAAATATCAATTTAATAAAAGTTTTGAACAGTCAAATTTAATTACAAATAATGTACATGTCTCATTTTGCTTCGGTTTGAACAAAATGTATACTTTGTACATGTTATAGTTGATTGCAAAAAATGATCGATCTGCAATAAATATTGTGGAAAATACATACAGCCGCCATGTTCAACAGATGCAAACATGACGGTTAAATGGATCACACCGTATGGAAAATACACATCGAAAAACATTCCACAAAATTGTAGAATAAAAAGTCAACATCCTAGAACTATGTATGAAACACAAAAACACAAAACAGTAATCGATTAACGAATGGGTTGCGTTCCACACAATTACTTCGTTAAGCGAAATTTCGTTTTTAGAGGTAAAAAAAATACTATAGTCAGAATATGCATACATGAACAAAACTTTTATTAAGTAAAATGTCAACTTATATACAAATTAAAGTCACATATATGTCTAAAATTGATTTTATTCTTTCATATAACAATTTCTTATCCATTAACACTGATCGCTTAAAATTAACACTTTTTCCTAAATCTGCATCAACAAAATTAAAATGTATTTCAATGTAATTTAAGAACCTTTTTAGTCATAATCTTCTTTAATTTTGTCTTAATATTCTTTGTCTTTGTTTATAACTAGAAACTGAAAAACCATCAGCTTTTGCATTCAATTTTTAATATCCTCTGTATCGACATTGTCAAAACTTATTGATCTAATTTCTTGGTTCTTATTTTATTATTCTTGTACAAATTCAATTGAAATATTTTTTAGTGACTATGTTTTAAGAATTAACAATGTTTTCGGACAATTACGTCGAAGCTTCATTATCAGAAACAACATTAACTGAAACTACACCTCCATAGTATTTAGTAGCCTATATAATTTGAGTATATCTTTTCTAAAAGAATTATTGAAGTATCTTAAAAAAATGGATTACTTCTGTCTAAGCAATTTGAAGTAATATTTAGATCAATTTCAATGGTATGAAATGAAAAACTAAGTTGAGTTTAAGAATTGAATGGAAAACTGAAAATCCATATTCCATTGTTTTATGATTATTAATATTTGCCCTAATTGGAAAAGTTGGTAACGACTTAAATCAACGCAGTATCCGAACGTGTTTACGAACTTGGAACATAATCTGAGCATGTACCGAGCCTAAGTGAAACAAAATACCATCCGACCGACCCATCGCGCATATCCGTTCAGCAAACTTTCAGTAGTAACACAATACACAATATGTATGAAATTAGATTTCCTTCGTCTAACTTTCTATAGAACCCAAAAAAAAATGATAAAATAACTTTCCGCTTGTTGAAAGTCACAAGGTAAACGCCAAGTTTCCTGGAACTAAAGAAAAATCAAATTAAATTTCCCGAGACTAATTTTGCCAAATGGAATTCGCATGAAGTTCATATAAATATTAACTAATCCGGTGGTGCTGCTGATGCTGCCTGCGTTCGCCTGAAGTTCTATTATTTAAACGCACCCGTTAAACCACTAAATCCCGTTTATTAATAATCCACAATAAACAGGAGCCGCTGCTCCAATTCCGCATACATCATCCCTTTGTTATGGAAAATTTAGTGCGACTAAATCCATCCACCCGTGTATCCCGTACACCCAACACACATAGAGTATATACATACATACATGCTCACGTGGCAAGCTTCGTCTCAGCTTGTGAACTATCTAACTATTCGCTTAACTAGTTCCAAAACCGCATTGGCTCAAGCACACGCAGCTTCAGTTGTCGGGAAACGTTTAGTTTCGCATACCAAAGTTTAGAGAATGTTGGGATTTTATGAAGTAATTTAGAATCACAGATCTAATTATTTTCAATTTAATTAAAAAAATAATATTTGAATCGATTAACGATCATATTTGTCCAATGTTTACTATCCTAATTCTTCGTTAAAGCTGCTAAATGTAACGTCAATCTGTCGGTAGAGTGTTCTTTATCTTAACATAAAAATGTTTATTATCCAATTTCTTTGCAGTCTGACCTGTTTGTTCACCGATCTGCCACTGTCTTAACTGAAAGTGTTAAGGAATTTAGTAGACATATAAGAACATTGTATGTTTCGATTACATTATTTCTTAGTTAATTGAAGACATTATTATGTTAAGATAAAATAAATCATATCCATACATTTATTAATAATTTTATAATGTCAATATCGTTCGTCTAAAATTTGTTTCTAGTACATCCGGTGGCAATCGCAAGCCCGATAACCGAAATCCCGAGTATATTGAAATTCTGACGTTCGAAATCCCGACGTTCGCAATCCCGACTATATCGAAATCCCGACTATGTCAAAATCCCGACTACCATAATCCCGACAATCAAAATCTCGACTATATCGAAATCCCGACAATCTAAAACTTAATAAGATCATTAATTGTTGCTATTTATTGTTAATAACATAAACTAATTTTATTATAGAATTTTTCTTATTCTTAAGTTTTATAATGAATAAGTCAACGAAAAAAAAATACAATATTAATTAATATTATTTATTGTTATTAAGAATAAATAACAACAATTAATAATCGGGCAAAAGAGCCATCGACCTAGGTCGATAGAAATTATAATAAAGAAGGATTTCAATTGTCGGGATTATGGTAGTCGGGATTTCAATACACTCGGGATTTCGAACGTCGGGCTTTCAATAGACGGTCTTTTGGTTATATTATAGTATTAGAATATAGAAATGAATGTTTTTCTTTATTAACGTATTTATTGTGTATATACCTGTTTTATATACATGATAGCGAAAATCTGTTTTTGTCTTTAACTTGAGATACAATGTACGTGACCTAGACTTCTAAAATTCATTTTAGAATTTTTATTTTATTACACAGTAAATGTAATTATGATTAAAGTTTTCAATTTTTAAAGATGTAAAGAAAAAATAAATATAACTAACACGCACGAATGTTCTGAAGTTATAACAAAAAATGTTTGTAAACGAGTATAACCTCTATCCAGCAGTAATTAATTCTATTTTTTCAGAAATTATGGAAGAATTGAATTGCTAGTATCAACGCTTTTCTTTTGAGGAGATTATTGTCAAATTCTACTCCTAAGTACTTAATTATTCCGCATGATAGTAAAGAAACAAATAGATATGCAGTAGATAAATTAGTATTTAGTATTTATTCATTTATTTACTAATAGAAAGAATAAATACCAAATAAACTGCAAGAAAATGTACAAATTGTACAACTTATATTTTTACAATTAAATCATTTATATAATTACGTAAATAATTACTTAAGTGAAATTAAACTACTGTTAAAACATAATTCCTGAAGTAGAAGCGCGTTAAATACTTCCTAACAAATACAACTAGTGCCAATAGACGTACAATGATAGATATAATACTATTTATTGTTTGATTGATCTAATTTTCACGTAGATCACAATAGTATATTTATTAGTTAATACCGATAAAAATTGTCAATAAATGCAGAAGATAATGCTTTTTCAGTAGAAGAATTACAAAACCTTGTTAACAACGTAGATGAAATGAAATTAAATAAGTTCATGACAAAAAAAATGATAACAAGCAAACATATGAAAGAATGCTTAAATCATATTGAAAATGATTTTTTTCGTGAAAATTATCTTGATTTATGAACAAATTGTTAATCAATGTTAAATGCAATAACTAGAATAACTTGAGACTCAAAATTGGGAAAATCCCTATATAGTAGAATCTCGCTTAACCTCCTATATCATTTTTAAAACTTGTGTACATATATTATGTGTATTTTTGAATATGTTTCACTATACGAGTCAAAATCCGAAAAAGGAACGTTCCTGCTATAATATGTTTACCTATGAAAACAAAGTGTTGCTTACTGTATTATTAATTTTTCTCAACTCCACTATAAATACGTTATCACTGTCTTATGGAAATCATTTATTCCTTTTGAATATAATGTATTTTAAAATATTTAATTTTAAAGTACATGCATTTTCCAATTATACCATTCTATGTAAAACAATTGTTAAAACTATAAAAGATTTTTTTTTACTTAATGATCAATTTGGTTTGTTAAAATTTAAAATATGTCGAACAAATGTGTTTTTTATATATGTCGTTTGTAGCTGTATTTTATCGTAATGTAATTAAAAACAATTGTTTAATATTTGGGGAAAAATATTCTTATATGTTCAGATACTTGGTTAAAATATTATATGCTCTGCTTCAAAACTTGCTAATTTAATATAATAATAAAATATTAAAATCATATTAATTAGATATTTATTAATTTGTTTTTAATGATCAATACTCGAATACTTGGTATTGCGATGCAATGGTACAATCTATATATTGATTGCAAAAGAATTACTTTTTAGAAAAATCAACCTCAATGATATTATAAAGTTTTTTGTATGTATTAATAGCCTGTCATCTTCTGATATGCGCATTATATAAGTGATCTTACGCTCTAGTATAGATTGTTAAAAATAAGATCATTATTATAACTTATAAAACAATAATACATAGAATTATTGAGAATATGTAAAATTTCATTGTTTTATTTTTTCAGAAAATGTGGCACAGCTGTGCTTGGTGCTTCATTGGCATGTGCATATGGGACAACGGTGGTTGCATGCAAAGACGTCACATTTATGGCGAAGACGGTGACAGCCGAGGAAGAATTGAAGCGAGCAAATGATATGAGATCACGCATGGAGCTGATGATCATGGAAGCGCAGGCGGAATTCTGCAAAGCTTTAGAGCTAGAGGAAGACGGAGGAAAGAAGTTCAACGTGGACAAGTGGAAACGCGCGGAGGGCGGCGGCGGCGTCACCTGTGTGCTGCAGGATGGCAAAGTCTTCGAAAAAGCCGGAGTAAATATATCCGTGGTAACAGGAAATTTACCACCAGCAGCCGTTGCCCAAATGAGATCGCGTGGAAAGAACTTGAGGGAAGGTGTCGAGCTTCCATTCTTCGCGGCCGGAATTAGCGCAGTCATCCATCCAAGGAATCCCTACGTGCCAACCATTCATTTCAACTACAGATACTTCGAAGTCAAAGATGGGGAAAAGGTTGATTGGTGGTTCGGCGGAGGCACCGACCTGACGCCTTACTACCTCGACGAAGAAGACGCAGTTCATTTCCACGGTACTCTTAAAGCCGCTTGCGATCGTCACGACACATCTTATTACAAGAAATTCAAGAAGTGGTGCGACAAGTACTTCCATATACCCCACAGAGGCGAGAGTCGCGGCATCGGCGGCATCTTCTTCGATGATCTGGACACACCTGGTCAAGAGGAAGCCTTCAAATTCGTCACCGACTGCGCCAATTCCGTCATTCCTTCCTACATACCCATTGGTAAGTAGATATTATATAATAATGTGTACAAGGCGATGCCGAAAAATCGAAACTTTCGATGACATTTAATTGAAGCCCACGCCGATCGACGAAATCGATTCAGAATTGATTTATGATGTATAATGTTTCAGTGAAAAAGCACAAGAACAAAATGTACACTGACAACGAACGTCAATGGCAGCTACTTCGTAGAGGGCGTTACGTCGAATTCAACTTAATCTACGACAGAGGAACCAAGTTTGGTCTGCATACACCTGGAGCCAGGTTCGAAAGTATCCTGATGTCTTTACCTCTGAACGCCGTAAGTGCTCATACCTCATTTCACCCTCTACTTGATTTAAAACTATTAAACATAAAACTGAATGAAACAAATCATAATAAGAAAGGAAAATAAATTAATAATATTCAATTACAATCATAAAATACTGCTGTCACCTTGTGTCCAATCGAGGAACTTGTAAAATACTTTTAGTAATTGGGTGCAACATCAAATCTATCAGATTTATACATTTTTCCCTCAAAATATTCCACAAATCTATATTTATTTTAATATATATACAAATTAAAAAGTATATTCAAACTTATCCAATTGTGTCCAAGATAAAACATAATTAAGTAAAACTTGGATACTAGAGCAAATTGAAAAAATAATCCAAAGTCTTTCTATCCTGGATGGATTTAATTTTTTTATATTTATAACAACATTTCTGCGTTTTTTAATCGGCTGGTGTATTCTGCTTGATTATATTCAATTATGTAAGAAAATGCATTTAAAATGATCAATATTGGAATAAGTTAAATATTTACAATAAATTAAAATAATCAATGAAAAGATCTAAACATTCACAATAAGGAATAATTAATTCATAATTATTCATCAGTGGAGTAGACTAGTCTAGTTCTGACTTTAATTTATTAACTGTTCTAAAATAATGCATCAAACGATTTAAGAAATAATAATTCTATAATTCTAATAAAGAATTTAAAATATTTTAGTTAAATGCTATCAGAAAGTCTTCGGTTTTAGCCCAAATTGGTACTGATACAAATCATACAATCAATAGAAGTAAATAAATAATTAAATTTAGTTGCAGTTTAGGAAACTCTGTAATAAGTATAGATATTTAAAATAATATTTGTAAAAATAAATCTTGAATATATCAAAAAGAACTTAAATGTATTTATTATGGGATCACAAATTCATTATTTTTTCAATTTCAATTTCAAAATTATTTATTAAGTGTAGATACATATACATGGTGTTATTTTTAAGGGGTGGCGTACATGTGAGCTTGAGCTCATTTAGCCAGAATCATTATTTTTTCAACAATTGGATATTAATAGCGTTAAATAGTAAATCATTAAATAATAAGAGTAAATAGTACAAATTTGTGAAATTATTAAAAAAAAACGTTACATATTATATTATAATAAATTAACAACAAAACAGCATTATTAATGATTATGATAAAAGTAAAACAGGTGTTACTAAATCACTTAAGAGAATGTGTTGAAAGAGGTTGAACATTCGTGACCGAAGTATTGTTAACCCGAGTTCTTCGGCATTGTTTAACCTACATCGAAAACAGCCGCAATCCAGCTATTATTAGAACATTCAGTTAAGATTCACCATTATTATTACGCCCATTATTATTTGCGTTTCTATTTGTCCTTCCGTTTAGTGTGTATCAACTTTTCTTGTTATTTTTTTTCACAGAGATGGGAGTACATGAATGTGCCGTACGAAAGGAGTCGCGAGGGTAAGCTGACCGAGATCCTTAAGAATCCGAAGGATTGGGTTTAAGCGGAAATTTAGTTTTCCAACTTCTTTGTTTTTGTTTTTATTTCTACATTTCATTTTATCATTTTTAATCCGTTTTTATATGCATTTTCGTACTGAATAAATAAACATCACAGGGATTTCCGGTTCCCTGGCATCCTAGAAAGTGCCTCTCTCCGTCGGCGAATCTAAGTGCAAAATAAAACTTGTTTATATTTGAAATTATTTTTTTTTTAATTTTAAAATATTCCCTTTTCCAGGTGAGACGCTTGTCGTCCGCATGCTAATTGCTAATGCTAACACATATACACACTATTTTCAGAGAGCCAGTGCATTCGCCATTACGTAAGTTGGTTATTTTGTGTGTGCAGAATTATTGATATTTTGCGGTTCAGGTAAGTAATTTTCTATATCAGATTCAATCAAATCAAATATATTTATAATTTTAAAGTTAAACGTTTTAGAAAATTATCTTTTTTTCAAAATTACTTTTCAAATTCACAAAACGTATACATGTCATGTATAAAAAATCCACAAAATTACTGACGTGAAGCGATTTTTTTCTTCAGAGGTATTACCAAAGTTACTTCTTAAAGGAAATGAAAAGCTTTTGCTCGAACGAAGAAAAGTTTTATCAAATAAAAAGTTGACTGTTTATGTTTTTTTCCTCTTTCATTTAACATTTGCCTATACAGAGTTAATGTTTTTAACACTGATTGCTTCAATATAACACTTCTTTCATAATCGGGATCATCTTTACTAAAAAAAAATTGTAAAACTTAAAACATTTTACATTTCTCTTTTCATTTAAATACTTTTTTAAATCTTTGGTTCTGAACTTTTTTTTGGAAGGAACTTTTATATTTCATGTTCATTTGCTCGTAAGGTTTTCAAAATTTTCTATTATCTTCTGAATTAAATAAATGTCTAATGAGTTTGTAGGTTTGAAAAAGCTTGCACAATTATATAAAAAATATTTATAATTACTATACAATTTTGATACAAATGTTGCTTACATTCATCGTGAAAAATAGACTTTATTTTGGTAAAAACATCTGTATTGCCAGAAAATTTTTCAGAATTTAGCTTTTTTTTTTTCAATTAATATTTAATAAATACGTACTTTTATTTTTTCAAAAATTTTAAATTAATGAATTATTAGATGAAGAATCTAATGAATCTGAACTTGTTAAAAACAAAACGTATTTTGGTTACTTCGATCTTCGATAGTTTTACTAAGGAATCTTTTGTTACGATAACCCAATGAAAAGTTTAAAATTTTAAACATAGTAGAATATAGCTAGACCAGGTATTGCATATATGAATTGTTTATTATTATTTTTTTCTTAAAAAATACGAATTAATATTCAAATATTTATTTAAAAAAAAATGTACATGATACTTGAATTTAACTGATTTTCAATAAGTAGATAATTTTAATTTAGTTTTTGAATTATTTTATACATTTTCTTCTTAATACACTCAAACATATGTTTTCATGGATTATAATGAATGTATTTATACCTGAACTCAGATCTTTCTATGAAGACAATTATATTTTCCTATTATAATTTATATTCTATGAAGAAATTGATCATTCTATTTTCATATCTTTATATTATATCAAAAATGCTCAAGTATTGCGTAATGTACCAGTTATATAAAAGAATCTAGATTAAATATCATGATTTATATTCAGAGAAAAATTGGTCCTTCTATTCGAACTCTTATTTCAATCATCACATCTTTGTGAGTCAACATTGTCAATGTTGTTGAGAATTATATCATATCTCAAAAAAAACCTGTAAATAATATTTGTTGCGTAGTAGCTAAAAATTGCGCTCATATTAATGAACATGTTAATAAAAAAAACAGGTTCAAACATCTGATAAGTATTACAATTTATTATTGTGACAAGTATAATGTATTAATCTTGATTCGAGTTGGACTCAATATGCGAATTTCTGTAACATTCAATAAATAATAAAAAAAAATATGCGATTGTTTTCACCTATTACTAAATCTTAACATTTTTTTTAGTATTGACCGAATTTAATAAACTTGTTAATGATTTATTTATTAATCTAATGTATTCTTTATGAGTACTTCATTTCATGTTAAAATAATAAAAAATTGATAGAGTACTGATGATCAAATGTTATAATAAACAAACAGGTTGAAAACCCCCGCTCCGGATTGTTATGACTAATACTATTTTTGTTCTTGTTGAGCAAACAAGATGACCATATGTCGTCGAAACCAGACATGTAAAACCTTTGTTCCTTGCAAATCGGATAATCGTGATTGTCATTCGGCCCGATCTAATGTTTCCAGTTTTTCGTTGGATCTAGAAGGTAGGTATGTTGGATTCAGGCGACGCATGCAAATGTTCGTAGCGCGTCAAAAACAAGTTATGCCATCAATTAAAAGCAAACATCGGCATCAAGTGGATATATACAATTTTAACGAACTTCGCTGGATGCGATGTGATCGAGCATTAAAATAATTGTCGGTCCTCTTTTGGAGTAACGAACTCCTATCCTTCTCTACTATCGTTTGCTTGTAAATGCAAATATTTGATCTGGCACACTGTATTAAATAAATTATAGAGGAGAAACTACGTTTGCTCTTCAAGTGGAATTGCACGAAAGAGAATAAAAAATATATATACGAAGCACACAAACATAACATATATATAATATAATACATAAATAAAACAAGGCCGTACTTGGCGCAGACCAAATTGGCAAATATATGAATATAATACACATATGTTTCGGATTTTTTTCCATTCCTTCTCTCTCTTTCACTCAATCCAATTAAATCTCATTTCATACGGCCATAATGATAATAATAATATCTACAATAAATGTCGATCAATGTTAAGCGAGCCTTAATTGATTTCGAGTTGCCTTCTGTTTATAATTATTCCAATCATCGAATTACTTTGGTATCTCCATTAGATGGTTCGTATATACCAGAAATTGAAATCATTAGATTCCATGGTTATTCTAATATCATGGTTATACTTGTATTCAAACATTTGTTTCCATGGTTAAACAAAACAGATTTTTAAAGGATAACTAAATAAATAAAATGTACAATATTTTTACAAAGACTCTCATGTTACAAATATTATAATTTGCAACAAAAAAGAAGCTACATACATGTATAAATATGTTATCATTAGAAATTTCAACTATTATTACAAATTTATAAAGAGATTTTAGATAGAAATATCGAACTTGTAAAATTTGTTTTTTTTTTACACATTTGTTCCATTGCGAATATCCTGAAGCTAGAAATATTTGCTAAATTAAATCAAAAAAAATGTTTGTTTATCTGTTTTTAATGTTTTTGAAGAATTAATCGAAAATATACAAATAAATTAAAACTTTAAATATTATTGTAACTAAATCAAAAAAAAAATACTTGTTATATATATAAAACTATTTTAATGTTACATGATGTCACATCTTAGAGGGCGACTTAGAGATATAGAGATTAATAATATTCAGTAGATCTGACTGGGTTGTGTGTAAATGCTGAATATAAGTTAATCAATAGGTATCACGGATTGGTGATTATTGCCAAACACTTTAACACATAAAAACGGTTACTTCATGGATGTAAGTAACTTTTTTAATGAATGATGTTATTTGATGTTAGTCATATTGTATTTGCTAGTTTTGTCACTGTCAATGTATATTGGTCAAAAATCTAGTAGTCAGGAATAAATGAAAGTTGCTCAGTGTCTGAAAAGTTGGATGAAGTTGAGGTAGATCCGGTCGACGTGACATCCTCATGCGATCCAACGTGATCTTCGTTTTGTGGCGAAGGTTTCAAAGTGTACGTATTTTTCCCAACGGCATGACCTTTGCAATGACAGTTGAACGATCAATCCCAAGGCCGAAGTTGGTGATATACGGCGAGGATTTCGGCGCGGAGCAATCGAATTAGGTATATTTTTTTTGTACTGGTCCCGTCCGTTGTTATTGCCGTTGCTGCCTAATATGGAAGGGCGCCTCTTGCGGCCACTCGAGTCCGTTCCCTTGGGGCGGACCTTGAGAGGAGGCGGCTACCCGAATCGTATGGAAGTTGTGCAAGTGGTGCGCACCTGGTGAACGAGGCCGAGGAGGCGCCGCGACGGCGACCAGATTTCCGCGGTCCTTCTCAGGTGAGAGAGAGTGAAAGTGCGAGGCGAGGTGTGAGCTGGTCAGTTATTGTTAAAGAGTTTAATAAAAGTGGCGTCGTCGTCGGGTGATGCGAAGGTCGCGGCGGATCGCGGCCCGCGCCTCCTCAGTTGTCGTCGGACGGTTCTATCCTAGGCATTGCGTCCGAGACTCCCAAACTCTTCAGGTCCTCCTCAGATCCAAACCGCAGAAAAGCCGAATCTTCGGCTAGGTGCGCGTGCCAATGGTGCAGTCGTACTAGTAGTTCCGCCGTGCCCATACTATATAGTTTGCAGTTCTCTCTGTACTTTGTTCACAGTGTGCGAGCGTGTATCTGCATGTGAGAGTGTGTGTGTTTGTGTGTGCTGCTTGCCGCCGCCGTCGCCAGTTGCGACTTTGAAGTCGCGGTGGGCCAACGCCGGCGTCGCGACGCCCGCCGTCCGCGCCTCCACCTCTCATTTCCGGCGCGGCCAGTCGATCGCCGCTGCCCGCTTCCGGCCCCGGCTGCCCGTTTCCGGAATTTTCGCAGGTGAATGCACATGTGCGCACATTCGTGATGTAATAACAACAGTCATCATTGCACACACACATACACTCACACATATTTAACTAACCCAATCGCGCCTTTGTGATCTTGTAATACATTCACGTATCGCGAATCATGCGAAAAAATCATTGGGACCTTCGCAACTTAGGTACAACAGAGTCTCAGAGAACGAAGCAAAGTATAAAAAGTAAATAAAGGAGAGAAACAAACAAAACGCCATCATAATAATAATAAATCACAACAAACTCAGAATGAAAGATCCAAACCATATCACCTACTTCTTTGCCCAGTTTTTTTTTTGTTTCTTCACACACTCTCTGCATTTCTGTTTTCAGAGAAGTAAAAATGTTGAAAGAAAAATTAAATATAAAAATTCAACGAAATAAAAAGAATCATCCATCAAATCAGAGCAGTGGAGGTAGCGGCACCATCCACAAATCGTATCAGCAATAAGCGAATAAACATTTTCTTGTTTGTTGTTCAATGTTTGTTCGCTCTGTTGACGAATTTCGTGGTTTGTGCAAATGAACGTCGGGTCGCGTGCTTTGCCTTTCCATTAGGAATCAATCATCTAAATTTAGATTACGCCAAATCTAGACTTTAGCTACCTACCTGTACTCGTGCTATACCTTCTTTCCTTCTTTTTTTCTTCGTCCTAATTGAGCATTTTCCGTGTTCAATCCAATCGCGACAGGATCAATATCCGCCGATTCGTCGAACCTATGAATATTGAAGAGACGATCGCAGTTCGCGCCCGTCAATACTTAATCGCGCGAAATTAATTACCTTCCGTCCATTGTTGCCGCATGATTGAGCAGCAACGTCTTCGGTCCTCCGGCGTCCCCAGTGAAGAATACTAAGTGAACAACGACATCCATGTGTGAGCAACCTCTTTTGCCCTTATCGGCCGATGATTATTATTGTTCTTGTTTTGCTACTGTTCTTGTCCTGTAGATCAAACCTAGCTCACTCAGTCGCTGTAATTGTTGAGCAGAGTGCGAACCTCGATCAGACTTTGATTTGTAGTTGTAGTACCACCTAAACAGAAATAACCTAAATATTGGAACTGATTCCAACAATTTGTAAGTAGTTAAAGTTGTTCCTGAATCTAATCATTAGTAAACAAATCATGATCTTCATGACTTAATAAAAATATGATCGTTTGACAATCAAATAAAAATGTTGCTTCACATTTGCTAAAATTCAAAAAAATATGATTTTTTAAATCTAAATGTAAATCATGATACTGAAAATAAATAACACGATATTTTATGAAACATTTTACAGAAATACTCTGAAAAAGAGAAATACATTTCATAACATCATTTTCGTAATGGAATTAGTAATCATCACAGAAATTATCAATAGACAATTAAATAAAAATGATCATTTGGTTTTCAAATCAAAATTCTTTAGAAAATTATGACACCTAAATGAAACTGGCTAAATTTTCGTAATGGTTTTCTGTTATATATAATAGACAAAATTTTGGATTTTGCAAGTTAATCGAAAAATAATTTAACTTTTGAACGAATCAAATTGATAATATAGGAAAATTTATTGTTTCATATTTATATGTAATTCATCAATATGGTTTTAAGTTATAGTTTTAAATTAATTAATAGCGTTAGTAAACATTTAATATTGATGAGAAGGATTTTAGTAAATAATAGAATTTAAGAACTTGTATCAAATGTACACACATTTGTCAACCAAATATCTAAAACTTATTTCCTATTATTCCAATTTATATGTTTCTTCGCTTTATGTTTTTTGTTTAATGTATTCTAACATATATAAAGATATTTATTGTTATGTCTAGACGTTTATTTATATAATTTACTTAAGTTCAAGTGTCTTGAATTATAAAAGTGAAACAAATTAATTATTTCATATATGTCATGCTACTACTTTCATATACTTAGAAAAGCAGTTTTCTAAGTATATAGAAACTTAAACTAACTTTGTTTTGAAAAAGTAGAAAGTTTATTTATTTGATATTTGATTAAGACTTCTTCATATTTCAGAATAAAAATGTTAATATAATGTTGAAACTTAACATCAATTCTAAGAACTATACAATTTCATAAATAATTGCGAAAAAGTATGAAACATTGCAACGGTAGATTTTTCAGCCCGAACAAAAAGTGAACAAAAGTTAAACAAACAAGTAAAGCTTTAGGTATTTTTAAGAAAAAGTCAAACCTTTTAAAAACCAAGGCTTGCCGATTTATTTATCAATTATCGTCTTTATGTGATACTATAAATAACTATATCTGTTTATTGCTAAAAAAAATTATATTTGAACAACAAAAAACTTCAAAAATTCTTAGCTAATTCTAGTCTAAAGAAAATCGTGCGAATCGAACCAATAAATTGCAGGCAAATGTCCTCATCCATTAGACATTCTTTATTTGGCAAATCCTCCTTATCTTCTCCACAGGAATCGCAAGCATCTGTCATAGCCTTGCAGAATAAAACGGTAATTCGTAAATACCCGCTTCGATTGTCATCTATTTCCGTACGAGTCTTTCGAGACAAAGCGAGTCTGAGGACGCAGAGCCCGTCATACCTGTTGCATTACGCATTCGTTTTTGACTCGCAAATCGTCAATCAATCGATAATATAATTGGCTGGATGAAAGAGGCGTTCTTCGATTTATTGTGATATTGCAAACGAACATATATCGTTTAGTTAGAATTAAACACCTGCACTTGTTTGCCTCAGATGAATCTTTGTTTGCGGATTCGCATACATTTTCATATTGATTAAGTTAATGATACATCAATTCATTAATAATGTGCATTATATAAGTAAAAGTATGTGCAGTATGTACACCTGTTTAGCTTTCTTGTTCGGTGAATTATTATAGCTTGATTATTTCTTTGTGTATTTATTTATAATTAGAATTCAGTTGAATATTTATTTTTTGATCGGTTTAAAATGTTCATTGACTTGTTCGGTGTGGATTGTATGTGAATAGTATTTATAGTTATCACTTTGTTTATTATATGTTATGTTTGAGGTTCTTCATTTACTAATCAATGATAATATTATTTCCACTAAACTTGAAATACAGTCATACCTAGGGTGACCGGACCGGTTCAATAAAAACATCGGGACATGACTCGGATTCTTTACCAAATTTCCCTCTCTATATATACAATTCGGGGACATCGGGACATCTTACCAAAAATCGAATAAAATCTAGAAACGGGACGTTTGAACATTCTACTTCATAACCTCACGAACATTCCTTCCTTAAATAAACAATTGACTTCCAAATAAAATTAAATCCCTTTTTGAAATATGAGTCTAAAGTTAATTGTTTTTGCTTTTTTCTATTTCATTTAACACTGATCAATAACACGTTTTCCTAAGTCAAGATCATTTTTACTAAGAAATATAACGTTTTTATGTTTTTTGGTAGGAACATCGTCTTAATTTTCTATGTATTCATTAGTAACAAGGTATTCTAAATCAACCACAGAAAAACCATCATGTTTTGCATTTTTTAAACTTTTAACGTCTTTTTCATCGACATATTTTAAACCTATAGGAGAACTTCATTTCTAATTTGTCGAATGATATTTTCTTCTTCTGGCCAGATTTTCTAGAAATAGCGGACTTCGATATCAAAGCTAATTTCGATGTACGATTGTATAAAAATCATTTTAGATTATTGTTTTATAATTATTTCAAAATATTTGTTGTTAGAATAAACCATACATCTTTTTATTTTTCATTTTAAACACACTTGTGACAAAACATATAAGATTATAAATTGATTCTTTTCGATTTGTTTGAAACAAACATGTTATACGTTTCCATTGAACATAAACTTGAATTGAAGAATAGTTCTTTGATATTTCATAAGTTAATAAATTATTTGAATTTTTTAAAAAAGTGATATCTTTGGTTAATTTTGTTGTAAAGGAAGGGAAGGAAAGGAAAGGAAATATTTCGATTCCAATAACAGATTTATCCAAACAATTTCAGACAATTATATACGCATTTTAGTTAACGATGAATATTCAAGTTTTCAATTATTTAAAAAGTAATTTCTGAATGATAATCACTAACATAGGAGAGTATTGAGTATTATCTAATATTTCATTAAATTTGAGTGCAAACTTTTATTCTGATATTATGATGAAAGAAAACAGTGGTAGAAACTTTCTCAAAATTGCTTTCTTATCAACTGAATCTTTTTTTAATTTAAATGTAATGTTAAAATCATATTGACGAGTTACCATCATAGTTTTTATTATTACTAAATTGTATTATACCAAACTATAGTAAGATGTACTTCAAATATAAAATAATATTTTTTATCATAACTTACAAAAATTTCGTCCAGAAATGAATATGTTTTAAATAAAAACTGTATGAAACTAGCAAATAAGTTTACAGAAAATGAGAAATATTTGTTATAATTGTAATTTAGTGTCAAATTAATGAATTGTTGTTAATTGGTAGAATTATAATCAAAAAAATAATTTTATTATATATAATATTTGACAAATTTTATGATCATGGCTTGTATTGTTAATTATAAAACAAACTAAACTCTCTAAAACATTGTCTAATTGGATATACTTATTATTAATAAATGCTATTTTAACATCAAATTGTGGAATATAGAAAACTAAATTTTATAAAATGTAGAATGTTGTTCACTTATGCACGAATCATATGAAAAAGATCAGTTCAGTGTAAAATAATTACTCCATCATTCCATATTTTCAGTATAAAGTGTTGTAATGTAGTGTTACATAGCTCAATTGAAAGTAACTTCTTGTATAACTTCTTGTGATGAGTGTATATTTGAATTTTTCATGAAACATTAAATCTATTACTGACTCATTGTTAATAATATAAAACGAAATTATGTTAACATATTTGAAATTAATGCAAACTAATTTGATTATTCTAAAATTGGATAAACAAATATTAAATGTATCTTTCAAAATTACATTCACGTATTGTCAATAAACGAACACATTGTTGACGAAACAATTTGTATGACTCTTCGACAGCTTTTCAATTGAGTGTAAACTAAGTTGCAAGTGTATATACCATTCTTCTCGTTCAAAGGAAACATCATTCCTGAGCACTCTCCAGCAAGTTTCAATCGGTTTGTAAGTAGTGCGTACGTGATTTTCCAACGTATTTGAATGAATGCGTAATGAGTTGAATCGTTCTACACACATGCTGTCGTTATCTTTGAAAGCAAACATACCGAACAGAAGTAATGAACGTCCGAAAGCTCGAAACAAAGAACACATGTAAATAAGACCATTGAGTAGAAATTAGAGATCGACGTTACTCGGATTACGATAATACAACAAAATGAAAACTACATTTTTTTTTTGGAGTGTTTCTTATTTTTATTTTTAGGTCAGCGATTCTTTCATTCATCTGCAAATGGATTGCAACGCGAGACCTCGTACAATATCATTTCTTTTTTTATGTATTAAAACAACTGTTGAGTTTCGGGAATATCGAATTTAAATCGAAGAACGCTCGTTAAGGAAATGCCGTAGTCCGCAAACAATTACATCACACCGCGCGCGAAAATCGTACATTTTAATATGCCTAATTTAGGCACGCTGCTGCCTGCATAAGTCAAAATCCTGAATGTCCCGTTAGATCCGTGCGAAGTTGTGCGAACGACGGTGGTTCCTTCCACTCGCCCATTTGCATATTAAACCAATATTATTAATCTCGGCGTCGTTATGCAATTAAATTCTGTACATTCATGTATAAACAAATGCGGCTACAAAAAGGAATTGTAAATACGTCTATTTATAAATATGGAACGTGTGCGCGCGTTTACTTTTATATGTTGCAGAATAAATAAATTGTACTTTGGCAAATTTAGGTTTCAAGTCCAGTCGTGACGAATTGCAAATGAAACGTGTTTTTTTTACTATATTTTTTTTCCATGCTCATTTCGTTTTCATTGTTACGTATATCTATGGTTTCTTGCAAAACGCTCCATTTCAATTTATTTAAGACCTTTCGTTCATTTCGCCCGTCTATTATTACAAACTTTTAGTTTGCACAGCAAGAATATATTAAATTTACTTCAAGAATCAAGCAACACATTATAAATTGATTCACTATTTATTGGGTTATTGGACATTAATTATTGGTAATAACTCGCATAGTGTGGATTTGATCAGAAAATTAACAAAAAAAAACAAAACTTTAATTGTCAAAATAAATGAAAATGATCATTATTTCCTGTCAAATCTCGTTTTGTGCTGTTTATTTTAATATGTTTTTGATTAGTCCTGTCTCAAATAGTACGGGATACCTCGCTATGCGAGGTACTATATTTAGAAAACTATATATAATTACTAAAAAAAAAAGTACGAAACAAAAAATACATGAACTATTACAACTTATTATTATGTTTGTACTTGTTTTGTTTATGTTATTGCAACAAATTACCAAAAAACAAGCGAAGATTTTTTTTGCTCGAATAAATTTTATATTACTAACTGGTTTCAATGTTTATTTGTAATTATTTCCATAAAACATCAACTACATGCTAATTTGCTACGAATATTGAAAAAATAGTATTATTTTATTCTGTAACAAAACAAATTCCATTCTAAATCGTATTTACTGCTCTTATATACAACTCGTAAAACAATAATTTATTGATCCGACTTGGAATTTCGTACAATTTTGCGCATGGCGTCAAAGGTCACCAAGAGTTTCATGCGGTACAAAGAGAATTTCAAGTGTTTCTCAAATATAAATAACATTTAACTAAAAGTACTTAACAAATTCTAGTCAATTAAGTCTTTAAATAAATTCTCTAATCTAAATGTAAATATAATATTTTTAACAGAACAAACATATGAATTATCTAACTTAGCGACGCTGGTGGTTTTTGCTTTTCAATCTGCATCCTAATTTAAAGAATGTTAATTTCTTTTCGTTGAAAATCTCAAGTTTTTTTAAATTTTGTTGGTTATTTAGAATTTTTGGTATTACAATTTTTAATTTGGTCTGGAAATAAATTATCAAATGTGTGTGTTTTCAAATGAATGAAAGATTTGATTTCGCTTACATTCTTCCTATTCTATTATTTCCACTCATTTCAAGGTACGTCACGTGTAGAGCAAACATGATCATATCATGTATATTATAATAGTTCTACTAAAGTTCAATTAGTAAACATTATTCATATCTTATAAAAATACAGCAATACCTAGAATAGAGCGGACTATTTGAAACCGGACTATTCGAGGAACTAAATGAAATAGAAACAGCACAAAATAAGACTTGATAAAGGAACAAAAAACAATCATTTATTTATATCATTTTGTGAATTAATTAATATTCATTTTAAATCAATTCAAATTTAGATTATTTTGAAATTTTCACAATACACTATAGTGAATCAGGACTGATCGAAGCCGCACTATACAACGTATATTGCTATCTTCTATACATGTTGCTTAACTTTCTTTAGATGTTAAATATTATATAGTTACTTTCAGTTTAAAACTTTGTCAATAAGAGCGTTGTGTAATACGGTGAGAATTTCAATTGGTCTTCAAATATGAATTATGAATTACTAAAATAATTTAGTAAAACAAATCAAATTAAGATTCCAGATGTGTTTTCATAAGTCTGATAGCAGTTCACTAAAGTTAAGTAACCTGAATCGTGTATATTATATGAATTTGGGTTTGCCAAAAAAACTTCAATCTTTAAAACATATGATGTATATAACTGTAGAGGTGACATAAGTTTTGATACTCAATTAATATAATTATTTAGAAGAAATGATTAGATGATACAAGTTATTCCCTTAGTTGACATTTGACAGTTTACGAAAGTTAAGCAACGATATTATCATTTATTCATTAAAAAAACTTTATCTTTTAACACAAACATAACAAACATTTCCACCGTAGTGGTTCTGCAAATCCTTTTTGTTCCTAAATCTGCATCATAATTTTGGAGAGAATAATCTAAATTACGAAGATATTTTAATGAAATAAGATCCATTAGATAAAATTAGAAACATATAATTTAATGTAATTTTTTAATTACTTGAGTTCATTATCGTTAACATTCATAATTCTTCTTTAAGTAGGATGGCCGATGTTTGATAGCCATTCTTGAATAAAATTTAATTAATTAAATTACATATTTTGTTTCTGCGATCGCAATAAAGATTACAAGAAGCTTTCTCATATATTTATGGAGATAGGATGGCATTCTTGGAAATCCGAAATTCTTTATGATTTGAGAAATTGCGAATCACTGTTGTATTTATAAAAAGAAAATAATACGGATGGTGTGAGTAATCAAGATCGTAAAATGATACTTTTGGTGTTACAATCAATCTACCCATAAAGTATTTTTATGTTTTTCCCTATTTTAAGATAATGGATAGTCATAAATTGTAGTAGTAAAACGGTACATAATTCTCATAATTTTGCATAATGATGAAAAATGGATTTATATTTTTACTATTATTGAATGTATATTCTGATACATATACACTCTTATGGTGCATCAACACTATATCCAATAATTGAAGTATATCTATTGTATTCGTTTAGGCGTACCAACTGCTATTGGTTGTCATGGAGTATGATGACACTACAACCTATAATTGGATACTATTATATAAATATACAAGGTTTTGTTTTGATACGAACATAGGAGATGTTTGAAATTGTCATAATCGTCATGGTGACTATACATATACATACTTGGTACACCTGAGATACATGTTGGAAATAATCTGAATGAATTTAAATTATAATGAAGATGTGTATTTCTAATTTATTGTGAGTAATAACGTTTTCAAATTGTTTTTTTATTTGCAGACATTTCAGACGATGGATTCCCGCTTCGGGCTCGACTTCATAGTCGAGAATCCCGGCTACATTCGGAAGCTGGCTGCAGCATTAGAGTCGAAGACTGTTAAAGTCAAGAAGCAAGTCTTTGAACTACTATCAGCACTATGCGCCCACAACGAGGAGGGTCATGCACTCGTGCTCAACACATTGGAACACTACAAGGTATGCTCTTACACATATTTGCATTGAAGACTTGACGTAGAAAATTCTTGTGATTTCCAGAGTTTGAAGTCCGGACGGTACAGGTTGAGCGTCATCGTGAAGGAGCTGGCCGAAGCCACGGAGTTAGACTACCAGACAGCTTTGGTGGCCTTCATCAACTGCCTAATCATCTCCATACCTAGGTTAACGGATCGCAATAGGCTTCGCAATGAGTTTATAGGTATCAAAGTTAAAACAAAACTTAGCAAATTGTTTACATGCATTATATTTACAGGATGTCATCTACTTCCGGTGCTCAACAATCTCAGGTATATTTTCTATTGAAATCTACTGGTGCGAAAGTGAATTGCAACTCTTTTATTTTTAATTAATTTTGAAATAGGCAATCGGCGGAAGCGGAGCCCGAATTGGCAGTGCAATTGGACGTGTTCGACGAACAACGGGACAGCGACGATGCGCAAAGCCTTCAGGGTCCGCACGGGGTCGACCTCAACTCACCATTGGACGTTTTCTACGCCACACTCAAACAGGTAAATAAAAGCGTACAATCTGCAAAGCAATTTACTCTGAAAATTTTGAAAAATTTAAACAACTAACGAATATCTATTTCCATAACGATTCACGGAAATCTGCGGTCGTAGCTCCGATTCGGCGATCGATTAGTAACAATGATGTAAGCGATCATCGTTGTTTCGGAACGTGTTTTTCAATTGTCGACCGAATTCTGGGAAGATCGAAGCATTGCGTGAGGCAGAAAAGTGTGACATGTTGCGAAACAATTCGTGCGTGGGTCGCGATTGCAGGAATACGCTATTATTGATCGCAGTTGTATCGATTTTTTTACTTCGGAATACGCTTATTTCACAGCATGCAATATGAATTTTCCCCATTTGTTTTACTCTTTAGATGCTTAGCTTTAAGTATTTGCTACTTTTCGCTGGATCCACGTCACGCCAACGTTTTTCAAACGATTTTTCTAAAATGTTCAGTTGTCAATACCATATTGAGATTCCAGTCGCTCCAGAGGCGATTGAATCATACCTTCTGTTTTAAGGACATACATACTTCCACACAGCCAAATTATATCTCTTACAACTACACAGATTTCAATTTATCGTTTTTTTGTGATTTTCATTACAGATTTGATTACATTCAATAATACATGATTCTGTATCAAGAAATCTGTTCAATAAATTATCGATTACGTTAAACTTCAAGAAATTCAGATGTCGTAATTAACAATTATTTTTATAGCTATCTTTCTGCTACTAATTGGTATGTTCTAAATTATAAAATAAAACAATTATATAAAAATTGAAAGACAATTTCTATTCTTTTATGAAATATTTCTATAAGTAATTATAAATTACATGGAAACATTTGGTATATTATACAAAATTTATAAAATTAGATTTCATATTATGTTCTTTGTACAAACAGAAGATATAATTTATTAGAAGACAGTGAAATGTCAATGTTACCATGGTATTATTGCATTTATAAAATAATAAAACATCGATCCAGCTGGCGTTACTATGATACGAGTATAAACAACGTTTTCCACTTTGCATTTAATGAGGTTTAAATTTAAATGCAGTTTATTTGCAATAAAATCATATTACGCAAAGTTCTATAAAACGCTCTTATTAATAAAATTGTCATTACTTATATATTTTGTTTTTTCTAAATTATACGCTAATGTGTTTTTAACTATGGAAAACGTTATGAAAGAATAATTATATAAGAGACATTCAAGCAAAACAATTTTTATTTTTTTGTATAGTGGATAATTACTAATAACAATTCTTTCTGCTTGTCAATTAAAAAAAAATGAAGCTAATCTTTATAATTTCATTCCGGTTAGCCTTACTAACTAATCGAACTTAACATTGTCTCACCAAATACACAAAATTGTCCACATGAGATACTAACCTAATTTTGTTGCACAAAAAAAAACTAACCTAACTTATCTTAACCTTAGATAACTTTATTAGATACCACACATTATTGAGCAATTAGTTTAATTACTACTTAGATTTTAATCCATAAGTTTCGGATAGAAAATGGAAGTTAAATTGTTTTTTATATGTTTAATTTGCGATACATGAAAGTGTGAACTAATTTATGATTTACGTTTTCATTCAGTCATAATTAATAATTATGAGTACAGTGGAACCTCGCTTAACGAGCAGCTCGCATAACGAGCATTTCGCTAAACGAGCACGATAAATTTTAAGAAAAATGACTCCAAAATGGAATGCATTATCGTATATTGCTTTAGTTTATATGGGGAAAATTGTTTCACTATACGAGTAAAAATCCGAAAATTTTGGAAAGTATTATGCTCGTTAAACGAGGTTCCACTGTATTTGAAAAGAAAAACATCATAATTAATTATTTTTTTCCAATTATAGTTCAACTCGTGTATTTCCAGTTTTATTTAATAACATTATTAAAAATAGTTAAAAAAGGTATTTGGACTTTAACACTTTCGATGCTAGTGGTACACATATGTACCACTTAGTTTTATATGAAGTCTAAGGGAATTTGATTAGGTTATATTTCGTTTATGTGTGCACCACTTAGTTTTCTATTGCTTTAACTCTTTGAGGGGCGTTTGTACATCTTTTGAACATGTCTAGTAAGGCATTATTTTAATTTTATAGAAAATGTAGAGGAATTATAACTTAATTTGGATGGTATGTCAAGGGATTAAGTTGTCTAAAAATTTGTTGGGTCTAGAAATTTAGGAATTAGAAATTAGACCCTTTGGTGACTTTTCCGCCATTTTATAAAATAAAAACATAAAAAACTACAAATGTATTCCCACGACATCTTTAAAAATTCGTCCCGAAATAAATGTGTAAAAGTAAAAATACCGGACTAATATTTTTAACTATCATAATGTCCAAAAAGGAGTTGTATGTAAAGAAATACAAATCTCTTATTTTAGAAATTAGAAATTGTAGTTTATCTTCTTATAGCTATGGCATCTCTTTAAATGGTGAGTCATGGATGATGTCATTTAATAGATTTCCCGGTTTGTGTATATTATTGTTTAATTCAAAGTTTTCTTTTAAATATCCTGTGCAAAGTACATATTGATATATTTTTAATTAATATAATTATTATGTTCGTAATTATCTTGATTGAAATGGACATACAAATAACAATTACTTTATTGAGTCTATATTGTTACATTTTCGTAATCATGTAGAATGAACAACAAGATTTTGAAAAATACAGTTAACTGTAATATTGATTTACATTTTTATTTGCATTTTTTTAGATTAAAACCGCAAGTTAATTTTTTAAGTTATTAAATTAATCAATTATTTCACCAGTATCTAAATTAGATAGTTCGATGTATTTAGTAAGATTTTATTAGGATAAGTTTAATCTTATATGTTTATGTATGAGTTTTTTTTGTGTTTTTGGCACAATTTCTTCCATCCTTTCGGAGTTAGTCGATCTCCGCTTCACTGGATTTATTTTCATTTGGCCTGAGTTTCGAACTCACCATCTTCATATAGAATACTACCTTAAGTTATTTTTCATTAGGTTAAATTAGGTTTGATCTAATAGATTTTGTTTATGTTTTGTTTTTGTTAGGTTTAACTAGAATACATCTATCCCTCGTTTTACACGATACTTTCTTTACAGGTTTTCGCTTTTACATGGTTTAAAATAATTAAATTAAATAATAAATGTTGAAAATAACCTATCCTATGAATTTTTTGCCTGCTTTTCTTTTCGATTTACACGGTTTTACATTCAAAAAGTTACAATTTCGATTTACACGTTTTTCTCAGGAACATATCTACCGTATAAATTGGGGTATAGGTATTGATATTTTTTTTATCTCTATATTCACTTTTTAAAAGGTATGCACGCAATTTGCTCAATCGTCTACGCAAGAGGCTTGAAACATTTTTAATAAACACATTATTATTCTTGTCATAGAGAGATAAATAATAAACAGTTTTCAAATACTGATGAATGGTGGTAGATACGTGTTGAACTCTGTTGAATATTTATTCAATGCATATTGTGTTATACGTGTTATTATTATTACACTCTTTTAAATTTCCTGTTAATTGATATTGGAATATATTTATTTATTCAGCAGGTTATATGAAATATTTACTAGGAAATTTAAAATACTCGTCGTCCTCTTCTCTCGCTTTACTGTGTTATGATATCATTTTCTTTCCGTTTAAAATTAATGAGTGAGAATCTTGCAATTTGATGATTTATTAATTATTATATGTATTATCTATATAAAAAAACTAAGAAATTTGGTCCTAGCTATCTCTGTCGCCAATTACCGATTATCAACTGATTATCAACAGTTATTGTTGTTTAAACATTATAGACTTCTTTTAATTGACTGATTGTCTCTTTTGGAATGAGTTAACGTTTGAAACATCAACTTTTTAATTTAGGTTGCCGAAACTCCTCAGGAAATACCTTTTCTGAGAATATTACAACATATGTTGAGGATCGACCCGAAGGAGGCTTTGAGCGATGTAATCTGGGATACGGCTGAACGCCTGGTGCATAGGGCTACTCTGATGGAGTCGCGCGAAGATGCCGCTCGACTCTTAAGTTCACCAAGTCATCAAAGCAGTCGACCAATATGCCAGTGCCGTTCAGACACCAACATTAGGCGTCAATCACTAAGCCAGTCAGCGTCGTCGACTTCTATCTCTTCGCCTCCTCCGCCGCCTCCACCAGGTGATTCATAACTAGTCTTATACTAAATGGCATACTAAATATTTCTATGCTAGGTCCAGCATTACCACCGCCGCCTCCGCCACCACCGAACATACCTCCCCCAGCGCCACCTGCGCCGACGAAAGCACCCCAAATGTACAAGCAGTCCAAGGAGTCCGAAAACAGCAGGGAGGTCGTTGAAAAGTTACCTCAGCAAGAAATACCAACGCCGAAGATAAAGATGAAGACCATCAACTGGAACAAAATTCCTAACAACAAGGTTTAACTCATGTTACACACCTCGTAATGTAAATATAATGTATACTCTGTTGCATTAGGTCGTAGGTAAAAACAATATTTGGACTCAGGTCGCTCACAACCATCAGAATTCGCCTATGGCTGATATGGATTGGTCAGAGATGGAGGGCCTCTTCTGCCAGCAGCTTTCGCAATCGTCGCCAAAGATGGGATCTAGGGACGCTGCGCCGACAACGACAACAACCAACGAAACGATCGAACGAAGAACGCGCAAAGATAATCCAGAGGTTACTAAACAAACATCCAATAATAACGCAAAATGTTTTATTCGTTCCTTTTCCAGATCACTTTGCTCGACGGAAAGCGAAGCTTAAATGTCAACATATTCTTAAAGCAATTTCGAAGGTAACATATAAACCCGAAGATTATCCAAGAACTGATATGCTAATCCAAAGTGATTATTTCAGTTCCAACGAAGATATCATCCAATTGATTAAGGACGGTCTGCACGACGAGATTGGATCCGAGAAGCTGAAAGGCCTCCTGAAGATTTTACCGGAGATCGACGAACTGGACATGCTGAAATCGTTCAACGGCGATTTCGAGAAGCTCGGCAACGCCGAAAAGTTTTTAATACAGTTGACCGGATTATCCAAGTAAATTTAAAGTCGTGGAAAACTAAAAAAAATATGCTCTAATACCGTTTCCTCGGTAACGCTAAATGTATCGCCGTTGCGTAATCTCAAAGTACCGCTAACAGAACCATGAAATGGTACAATATTGACACGCGCAATTAGCGGGCAAATAAAAAATAATCCGAGTAAACCGAATCTGAATACTACGCAAATCGATTCTCCATGATTAGCAACATGCGATTTGTTTACTCGACGTTATAGTTACATTGCCATAGCAGCTGCAGACTGCGTAGCGTTCTTGAATACTAATTGGCTGATTTCAATTAATGCGTTATTTGTTAACCATGGCAACTGCAATGAAATTGATATAATAATAAACGTTTCTTTTCCTCTTTTTTTATTGCAGTTACAAGCTTCGCATCGAAAGTATGCTGCTGAAGGAGGAATTCGCTTCAAATATGGGCTACTTGGAGCCGAGCATAAACTCGATGATTGCAGCTGCTGAAGGTATTGGAATACTTTTAGATACAGTATAACACCAACATTTCAGTTCGACTTTCAAGTTGTTTGACTATTGAAATAAATTTCCACAGAAGAAATTCACAACAATAAAAATTAAAACACAAAAAAGTGATTAACTTTTTTTTATATTCTTTAAAATTTAGATAATGCTTCCAAGTTATACTTTATTCAAGTTTCAAAACATTATTTTTTGTTTGAACTTTGCAGTTTGATGACTATATTTATTGTATATATCCTAAAATTTAATTAACAATTAATCAATTATTATTGATGTTTTTTAAATTATATTATCTTGAATAAACCAGTGAGTCTATAAATGATCGATAAGTAGTTATGAAACTAGGCAGCAGTAGTAGTAGAAGTCGTATCATCTTTATGTTTTAAAATATTATTATCATCGAAATTATAAAACTCATGATAGTATTTAACTGTATTTATTATAAATGTTTTTATCTATCTTTCAATAATGTTCCTTTCTTTAGATTTGATGACTAATAAGCCGCTCCAGGAAGTGCTCTATATGGTGCTGGTGGCAGGAAACTTCCTGAACTCCGTGAGTCGAGCTGGAACGATCCAATTAAGTAAATTCTTATTATGTATTCTTGATTGCACTTAGGGTGGATATGCAGGGAACGCCGCCGGTGTGAAATTGTCCTCGCTGCAGAAAATCACCGATATCCGAGCCAATAAACCCAATATGAACCTCATACACTTCGTCGCTCTTGTAAGTAGTAGCCAATTAATAGTGTACCTCACGTTACCGATCGACGTTATCATTTTTTCTAGCAAGCGGAGAAGCGCAACAAAAGTTTGTTATCATTCACGACAAACATCAACGTGCTGGAAGATGCCGCAAAGTAAGTTTCTTGTATTTCTTTTTTTTTTTTCACTTATGGATTGTTTGATGTAGAAACACCGTGGAGCAGCTACACAACGAGATCAATGCGCTTTACGTGCGAATAAAGAAAATACAAAAGCAGATCGATGCGCCAACCATAGAGATGGATATCCGGCAACAGATGTCTGAGTTTCTACAGGTAATAAGTTAATCTTTCAATTGCAAACGGTGATTTCATTCAATATTTCTAGATGGCCGAGCACGAGGTGACGGGTTTGCTGAAGGTAATGGGTGAATTGGAAACGGTACGCACGAGACTGGCAGATTTCTTCTGCGACGATCCGAGCTGCTTCAAGCTCGAAGAGTGCTTCCGCGTTTTCCACAGCTTCTACTGCAAATTCCGTCAAGCGGTGACTGAGAACGAAAGGAGAAGAGCGCAGGAAGAGCAGGCGAATGCTAGGAGACGTCAGAGGGAGGAGCTATTAGCAACCAAACGAAGACAAAGTAAGTCTATTGAAAATACATGATGAATGCGAAATTTAAATTGTTTTTGTAGTGGAAAATTTGGTTAAATCGCAAGAAGAGGATACTCTGATCTACGACAGTCGAACTGGGTTCACCAGGAAGGAGAGGAAAAGCGGAGGCGGGTTGACGTCCGATGACGAAATCTCCATAAGAGGGTCACCGTCGGTGACGAGAAGACGTTTAGAGAGCTTTAACGGGCAGAACAGCGATGCCGCAATTAAAGATGATAAATCACCAGGTAAATAAATCATTAAATGAAAAATCGATGTTGATATTTTGATTTAATAGATATAACACCTACCGGGAGCTTGAGAAGGAGACGTAGCCGAGTTTTGTCGGAAGAGGACGAAGGTAGTTTGATGGACTTCTTAAGGACTTCAGGCGATGGCAATGGTAACGGAAATAATAGGGAGAGGAAGTGTTGGGGTAGTCTAGATAGGTCTTGGGCGAGAAGAGCTCGTGGTAATTTGTCATGGAAACGGCCAACTCTTCTCTCAGCCGATTTCGGCTTCGGGGAAGATCGAGAAAGACCGTCGTCGCCATCCCCACTGACTGAAAATAAACCATTAGAGGTAGTTGAAAGTAAACCGAAGGAGTGGCGTCAAAACATCGAGTCCTGGCTACGGGCCAATGATATCACGGATGATCAGAACCGCAGTAGTAGGAGATTGAACAGCAGAAAATCAGTGGAAGCAGATTCAGGTATTGGTCATTGCTTAATACGTTAATCGATTTGCATTAAAGTTAGTGTTATTCGCAGAGAGCGATCGAACCAACAATACCTTAGATACTCTGCCAGAAGGAAAGCAGGTGTACAGCGGCAGCCAAACGAAATATCGGCGCGTTTTCCCAGATTGGAAACCTTCGACGACCATCGATAATACGGATGTGGTCGGCGCCATGGAAATAGTAGAAGGTTCAATTTGCATTTAATATTATTGCATTATTATATTTAATATTGTTATTTCGGTGTTTCAGAAGTCCAGCCACAGTTGAAGGATAAATCCGCATGGAGAAAATCAAATTTGAACGTAGCAAACAGTTCGGAGGAGACTAAGGAATCGGCGCGTCGTCCATTCAAGCCGCCTCCCGATGAGTCGCCGGTGGACAACAGGAAGATGTTGATAAGTGCACTGGGCGATCGTCCGCCCACAGATAAATTAACAATCTATATCAGGAAACCTTCAAAAGACGATTCGCCGCCAAGTAAAGACATCGATCAGGACAACATCGAAACACCACCGAGTACGAGAAGGATCATCGAAAAACGCGAACCCGTCCAACCCACACCTTGCAAGCGATTATTGGCGCGACCCTCCAGGGAATCATTGACGAGTCCCGAAGACCCAGATCAATCAGTTGCAAACACTCTCGGCCAATTTGATCGCTTCTCTGCGACAAGACGAACTCGGAGATACAAGCGATCCACGGAAGACGATTCTCGTTTATCCGAAGCCTCCGACGATTCGAAGTTGAGGAAGCACAAGGACACGAACGAACTGACACCCCGTAGCTTCAAGCGTACCCCAGACGAGGAGGCATTGGATCCGAGAAGGACGAAGCGTCCTGTCGAAGACAATTCGTTGACGAAAAAATCTGTGACAGACAAAGGTAAAAGTGTCGTCGATTCGGCACCGCAAAAACCGTGGCGACTTAGCAGATCGAATTCACTGAAATCGGACACTCCTCCGAAGACGGCAGAAGTTCCGCGTCTACGCCGCTCATCGAGATCCGAGTCCACCACAAAACCGATGCAGCGCAACAGGGACTTGAAATCGACGAAATCCAATAGCCACGAAGACGAGGGCTTCGAGGAGTCTCAGAGCCTGATGTCAGAAAGCCCCAGCCAAGGGGCCTCCTCCATCGAGACTCCGCCGGAATTTCCCAAAATTCCGCAGACTTTCAAGCGTACTGATCGCTTAAGACATACCATTGCAGAGCCTATCAAGAAGACTTCCACCAGACACCAAACGCCAGTAAAAAGATCAAACTCAAGGAACAGCATCATGAGCTCGCGCAGCTCTTTATCATCCGTCAACACGGTGAAAACAACGTCAACAAAGCCCGCACCGAAGGTTTCTATGAAACGCACTTCTTCGGTGACGAGCACGACTTCAAAGACCCTTCCACCGCGACCTCTGGCTGCCTTCATGAAACCAACAGCCGCCAGCGCCACTAAATCCAGCCAAATCGGATCGACTACAACCACCGCCAGCAGAATCACAACTCCGTTTCGCTCGAGCAGGAATTGAGGACTCAATTTAGAAATTGCTCAAAAAAATTATTGAAAAAGGAAACCCAACCCCAATTATAGAATATATCTATATTTATAAAATAGGCAAAGAAGAAAAGAAGCATTCCGGACTCTTTTTTTTAACTACCTAGTCTTAGTACTTAAGTATATATATATATTATTTTTTTGTGTTTCTGTGCGATTAACTTATACTAATTATTATTATTTATTACTACTCTTACACAGTATTATTATATGTTTTAAATGCGAAAAAAAAATGTCAAATTATGATTGTAAAATACTAATACTTAATCATAAGAAGCAAGCCCTTTAAAACAGACTAATATCTTTTAACATTACATTTTTTATATAGTTTAAAATATTTATTTGTTACCAAATATATATTGTATATGTAATGATCATTAATTCGTCGGTTGCTCCACGTAGCATTTCTCCCCAAACCATTCCTTGTGATCCGTCAGAAAACTGAAATAATCATTGCAGAATTAGCAAGTTATCGAATCAACTGCAGGCAATTACTTACTCTATGAGATTTTCAAGGTGTCTCAGGAGCACTTTTTGTTTTGCTTCTTGGAAATTAGTGGAATTCAGGAGATCTGGTATTTTCACTAAAAACAGCAGTGTTGCAAACGATAATTTCCTAAATGACTAATACATACCAAACAGTCTAGTCAGATGGGTGGCACCGTAGAGGAGCGACGGAGGTGGAGGCCTTTGTAGGTAGATGTAATCCGGAAGCGCACGCCACGTGGGAATTCGCAACATCACTGGAACCGGTTCAGTATTATTCACGCTGCAAAAGAAAATAGGTGTAACGGTCCATTTGATACAATAAATACTCTTGATTCTATCTAACATTTCATGAAAATAAAAATTCATAAATAAGATCCTATGACATGAAAAATTAAATGTTATACAAAAAAGAAACTTATAAAACTATGGAATCTGAGTGAACTTTAAAGTTAGCTTGAAATGGATTATACTACTGTTATAAACTGAAATACATATAATATTAACCAATTATTACAATATCGCAGATCTAAAGCGTTTCAATCATATCGTTGAGAGGCCCCGTCCAATCAGATGCACTATGTGTATCAAGCATATCCTTATATTTCGAAGTTAAACTCTTGTTTTCAATGTACCAGTGTTCTTGCAACCTTTCCCAAGCACTTTGACAGGATTAGGTTCGAAGTTCCATGTGATTTTATTGTTCTTGTTTTTCCAGTTTGTCTTCGTTCTAAGTGCATACCAAAATATTTTAATTTAGTTTATATAAGCACTTTGTAATTCTTTACACTTACGGGAGATTCGAATAATGATGATAAAAAGGAAATATAAATATAGTCTCACCTGGAACTTGGTTTAAGTGTCGAGTTATCAGAATTAGCACTTCCGTTGCTGCTTGTATCCAAACTCCTGTACGATCTTAATGTGCGTCTTCGGCTGATCGGTCTCTGTAGCATATCATTATCATTGTGGATGAAAATCTCTTCGTCTTCGAAGTTTGGAAGATGCGCATATTCCTGATCTTCTGTTTCCATTTTAATGCTGCAAAAAAGATACGCTCATGAATTAGTAAATTAGAAAATTTATTACTTGCGAATGAATTATTCACATAAGCTAGTACGTTCATAATCATAACAATAATATAACATATATAAAATAAGTAAAACTAAAGTCCTACTCACGGTTCCAATTTTACTTTGTTTTTGGGTAAGAAGTGTGCCTGCTTGACCTCCGTTTGACCTCGTTCATTGTTGTAAAGTAGCAAGTCGCTGAGGAAAAAGTCGAAGTAGATTCTAACACCATCCAGAACTTCTTGACACACGTTTACACTATAAAGAGATAGCGGTTAATTTATTGAAAATATTTTTTTCCTCTGAGAAATGCAACTGATAACATGTATCGCTTAATCATTTGAGACTTATAGAATATAACTAAAGTAAAGCAGATTTTACAGAATTATGTCTTGTCATCAAGATTGATAACCAAGTACATGAGTATGCGTTTGGTATTGTTATGTGTAATGCTTACTTTCTTTGTATAATCTCCGGTTTAATTTTGACACCGTTATTATAGGCGGCAGCTGTCCTGTGTCGGCCCTTTTCGCCGCTATCGCCATACTTTTGACTAGTCGCGTAATGTTTCCAGAAGATCTCCAAGATTGTTATGATATTGGGCTCGGCAGGTAGCTTATGAATACGGCCATGCTGGTGTACCAAATTGTAGTCAAATTCGAGACGTTCGCGCAGCTCGTCGGTGATTTCCAACGGGATACTTTCGTCCTCTTCTACTGACTCAGAGTCCGAACAACTGGAAGAACCTCCCCTCATGTCGTCCACGTCATCAGCCGCGGGGCTACCGCAGCTCCCGTCCTCCGAGGAAGCAGCAACCCTGTCTGATTTACTGCGACTGTGCTTCTTGCGCTCTTTGCGATACAAGTATGAACCGCTGGAAGATAGAGAGCAAAAAGAAAGTGGAAAAGATATATAATTAGTATACGTGGATCGCTGGAAACGCTATTGCTTCAAGTGCTCAGTACTGCAGTCATACCCCGATATCCGTTTCTCTGCTACTCTTACCTAGAAAAGATGATATCTGCGTCCGCAGTGAAGAGATCAGAAGAGCTTTAATAGTACGCCGAAGGAGATGAAGTCGAAGTGGGTTGCAGTCGGCTTTCGCTATGTTCGTCTGTTGTTTCGCTCTTAACCCGAGTCAGGGGGAATTCCAGATTCGAATTTCCCAAGGACATATGTTTCTTGTTTTGCTTGCGCTTTCGATACATCTCTTTATAGACGGAGACGGACTCATTTAAAGATTTCGTGACCAGTGAGGATCGCTCGTGTGAAGGATCTTTCTTCTTGAGGATCTCACTGGCCTCATCGATGAGCGAGAACACTTTATTTAGGTCGTCAACGCAAATCTCTTCACGGCCCACGACAGAGCGATCAATTTTGTTTTCCAATTGGTAATTAGAGACCTCATCGTCGTGTACCAATAAGCTACCTTCTTCGATCGTATTATCCGCAAACACTATGTCCTTATTCGATTGGATTTCTAACTTAGAAACAAACATGTCCTCCATTTTGACGTCAGTGTTCTCCATCATTGGATCATTACCCGTTGAATCGTCCAAGTAATCACTGTCTGGAGATTGAGGTTCAGGCTTCACGTAAAACGCATCGTCAGACATGTACACCTTCGGCTCATCCAACCCATTATAAGAGTCGCTAGTTTCAAGATCCTCGCCTCTAGTGATCGAACCGGTGGGTCCCACATTACACAAGTTCTGTCGTTTCCTGAACCTATCAAACCACCCGCGACTGGCCTGAAAAGTCTCATCCGTTGCAGCAGACCCAGACGGTTCAAATCTCTTCAACTCATCGAATATATTCTTTGCCCTGGCCATAATCATCGCCTGCGTTAAAGCAGAACCAGCCTCCAACGTCTCGTCTATCCAATCTGCAACCAATTTCTCCATCTGCTCCATCAGATCACTTCTCTTCCTCGTAATCTTCTTCGAGGACAGCGGAGTGGCCCTTTTCGCGCTCTCGCGAATCTTCGTCGCACTTTTGAATATCGACCGAACCGTCGTTGCCGGCATACCCATCGCTTTGCCAACATCTACTGCCCTTTGACCCAATTCCATTCTGTTAATGATCTCCAGCTTCTGCTGCAGCGTCACGCTTCGGCGCGATCTCTTCATCGGCGTGTCCACTTCAGATTGGAAGCCGTTATAGTTCATCTCAATGCCCCCAAACAAAACAGAAACACACAATAAGCAGAAATTGTACCACAATTACTCTTCGTTTGCGAATCTGAAATGTCAGCAGTTACATAAAAGAAAATTTTCGAAACATGAACAGATTTTGCAAGATAGAGAGAAAAACAAACCAACAAAATAAATTGTATTGTAAAATAATATGAAACATAATATCGAGATATGACTGTCTTTTATGCATAAATAAATAAAATAATAGAAATTTCGGATTTTTTTTGTGTATGTAAAGTAAGAATCTGCGTGAACAAACCAAGCTGTCTACAGAAAGGAACTAGCTACATCATCTACAATGAAAACAATGTTTCGCAACTCACAATTGCAACTTCGATTTGTCTGCAAGATCCTTCTGCAGTTGCCTGTTCTCAACAGTGTCCTTCAATATAAACTCCTCACTTACACACCTGTCCCAAGATGAATTCCAACCCTGCACAAAACATCCAACAACACACTCATTTACTAATATCTATTAATTGAGTATCTAATTTTCATTTACCCGAAAGTGTATTAAATATTCAACTGATTTCTTTCCTTTGGGGTCTTTGTTGATGACAACATCCTTAACCTGAATGGAATTGAAAGAAAACATTATACTGTGAACACTGTACAGCATATATTGTAACTTACTTTAGATTCATACAAAACTTTGGCTTTAGTGGGATCTGGCTCATAGCACAGTACCTTTTCACCTTCAAAGAACTTCAACTTCAAACCTCTTGTCGAAACCATACCATTTATTTAGCTGTTTAATGGTACAGTAACTGGGCCAGAAAAGAAACTGTACTTAATACTATCAAAGTATCACCATCAGTACTAGTGTTTCTTCTAACCTAAAAACAATACACTCTTATTTACTAAAAATAATAAACAGCTCAATGTGTATAAGTTATTGAGTAATGTATAATATTTACATTTTATTAAGTTGGTTGAAGTTGGTACTGCATCTGTCAGTTTCAGTTAAGATCTTGAGGATAAATTAATCCAGATGCACATAGATGTCACCACTAAATCAACATTTTTTTAAAATTTGAAATACCGCCATACCAAATACTCTCTTTCACATGTAAATACTCTCCATCACCCTCTCCCATCCATCACCATCATCCCTCTCCTACACAAACAATTGATAAGGCCCTAAAGGTCTAATATATTTTAAAGCATTTTAGATCAAATAAAGGGGTTTTCCCAGGCAAATTTTTCCTCTAATACATAGACATAGTTGTATATATGTACTAATAACTATTAAAACTTCAAATGCAAATAATTGTTACGCAAATTATCTCCACGATATTTTTAAAAGTGTTAAATTAAACGTTTGTACCCATGCAAATTTTAAAAGGGTCAATAATTATGTATGTAAATAAAGTTATTTTAAAATTTGAATTTTTGCCTGTATCACAAAAATCTGATACGAAAGGTCGTTGGTTCGATTCACAAAAACCAACAAAAATCTGTGGGCGCCGAATAGAAATTGGTCCAAAGAGTTTTATATCAATAATAAATTGATATAAATCTCTTTATAAAATAAAAAAAAACTACCTTTGTGTTTTCAAACCTAAAATATTATAATAAAGAAAATATGTAATTCTTATCAATATCACTCGATGTACTTCTATTAGAACCTGAAAAATGTTTGGATTAGCATTACTAAAATATTCAAAAATAAATCAATTAATTAATACTTTAATAATTATATTATTGACTTGCAACATATCATTCATTCAAAAAACAATATTTTCAAGAGCCAGATACTCTAAAATCATGTTTAATTGTTATTTCGCAAGTAAATAATGAAAGTCGAGACTGATAAATGCTTTAACATATCTCAGTTAAAGACATTTCAAATTATCAGATTTATTACAAATACACCAGGAAAAAAATATTTAGAACATCAAGTGTTAATTTCGAAATTTAATTACATATGATTCGAGTATCTTTCAAAAAGTATTACTGCTGTTTGGAAGTTAGTTTAAATCAAATTTATTGGTGTTATTTTTAGCTTTAATTAATAAGCTGCATTTTTAATAAACATGAAAACAAAGGACAAATTCTTCAAAATTAATCAAAGCCGAGACTCTGAGAAGTGGAAATAACATTATAATTATAAAAGAATCAATAGTATCTAGTATTTTGTTGAAGAGTATTCTGATAATAATGGAAATAGTCGTATAAATCTATAAAAATTGTAATAAATATATTTCAGCTAAACTAATCTTAATACATTTTTATATACTAATGCAGATATTTAAATTAAGTAACAAATAATAAAGCGATTGAGCGCAAATTGAAAGAAGTTGCTATTATTTGTTGAAATATCAGAGCTTATCAACTGTTGGTTATATATTTATATTCATATAGAAATAGTCAAAATAACAAGACAAGACAAAAACATTATTATCTATATTAATATTGTTAGGTCAAAAGATTGTACAATAACTGTAAATCAACGATTGTAATTCGTTGATGGTGACTACAAACATGACAAGAAAAACTTGTACAAATAAAAATATGTTATCAGACGCTAGTATAAAGTAAAATGTATCGGTTGGAGCAACAGTTATTGCTGCAGCTTACACAGAGTTGGAAATGAGTGTGATAGTTAATTAAGTGTGGTAAAGATTTTATATAACTTTTATACTCGTAGATGGCTCCTAGAGAGAAGATTCAAGCTCCTTCGAGCTCTGGTTTAAATTACTACAGTAGCAGAGATGATGCGCTGAAGAACTCTGACGATTGGTTGGCGGACAAAAGAAATGATGATCAATCTGAAGGCCTTTGGAGGATTCACGACGACCTCTACGACCTCACGGATTACGTGGATCGTCATCCAGGCGGAAAATTCTGGCTCAAAGTCACCAAAGTAATTTTGCTAATTGCGATAATGTAATCAATGATTTTATTGCTGTTCTCGGCCAGGGCACTGATATAACCGAAGCCTTCGAGACACATCACATTTTGAGAGATGTGACTCCAATACTTTCGAAATTCCACGTGAGGAAGGCATTCAAACCTAGGCACTCGCCTTACACATTCCACGACAATGGATTCTACAGGACGCTGAAAAGAAACGTGAAGGAATTTCTGAAAGATAAACCGAAAGTGTCGATTTGGAAATCGAAGCTTATTATCGATGTTATGCTACTACTCACCTTCGCACTATCGATTTTGGCAGCGCACTTTTGGTCCTACACCTTGGCCGTTTTTGCCGGATACTTCTTGGCTTGCGTCGTCATCATCGCCCACAACTTCTTTCATCAAAGAGATAACTTTAGAATGCATTATTTCAACTTTGGTATGGAAACTAGGTACTTTTGTTACCAAAAAAATAGTAACTTTATATTAATCACAATTTACATCCTAGGGAGTGGCGGATTTCCCACGTTCTAAGTCATCATATGTTCACAAACACTATCTACGATATGGAGGTCTCTGTGATCGAACCGTTTCTTGAATACTTACCTGTCAAGAAGAGTGTTCTGCAAAAGATCTTTTACGTGTTGATTACCCCGTTGGCCTACGCCACTGTATACCATATTTCTTTTCTCAAAACGTACATCTTTATCGTTTGAACTTTTTGGGCAAAACTAACATCCTTCTTTTAGGGTTTTACTAATAGCAACTGGAAAACCGACCACGCCAGATGGCCACTTTTGATAAAATTCATTCTTCCCTTGGCGATGTATGTATTCACCGATCAGACCTTTTTAGCCTCTTTCGGAATGTGGAACTTCATTCTCTTAGTATCCAGCGCTATATTTGGAACAATCGGTTTAAACGCGGCTCATCATCATCCCGACATCTTCCATGATGGAGACGCCGTCAGGTACAATTCATTAATTCTTCAATACATGCGTAATTACTTTTATAATTATCTCAAAGAGATGACAGGGATTGGGGTATTTCTCAATTGGATACAGTAATGGATCGCAGAGACATCTCAGGATTATTCTTGGTTTTAACAAATTTTGGAGACCACGGCCTTCATCACCTCTTCCCGACTTTCGATCACGCAACACTGGATCAATTGTATCCAGTTTTGAGGAAAACCTGCAAAGATTTCAATATAGACTTGAGGGTAACCACACAATTGGATTTGGTAAAAGGACAATTCAAGCAGTTACTCCGTACCGAACCCAACAAGAACATACAAGATCTTCTCAAATATTCCAAACAGAAGTAGTTAACGTTATAAAACTTTATTTGATAAAAATATTCAAAATAAACTAAGAAAATGACAGTTTAAAAAAAATATTATTTATCATTTTTATAATGGGATTACCACAGCGTAGTGTAAACCTAGTTAAGACCATGTTAAATATTTAGTGGTTTAAATAAACTTTAAACATTTCTTTAGATGAAACTATTATTTATTAATAAAAAGTAACCGTGCGCCAATTTATGACAAAAGAAAATATATATTAACGAGCAACTTGCATAACGAGCAAAATTAATTGTAAGAAAAATGACTCGCTTAACGTAATGATGAGAAGAGAATTCCCGGATTGAGCACCTGCTACATCATTTTTTACACTTGTGTGCACATATTATGTGTATTTTTGAATATGTTTCACTATACGAGCAAAAATCTGGAAATCTTGGAATGGATTAAACGAGGTTCCACTGTATATTAATTCCTGCAATTATTGTGTTCCATTTATTATTTCATTTATTAAATGAATATACGTTAATATTGACCCATATTCGCAATCCATTTAAAATATAATGCCAACCAAAATGTTGGGTTTGTAAACGCTGTTATAGACGTTCCAAATTGTCTGATTTATCATAATAACATCGTAGTGTAACTGGATTAAAATCAATAACAAAAAAAAACTTTCCAATTAAAATTCATACTACGGCAGTAGTATTTTAAAACAATTGGTCTCTATAGAAATGTACTATTACTTAAATCAATACTAAAATATTATATGCATTGTTTATGGAGGAATTGAAATACAATGATTAACATGCAAATATTTGTTTGCATTATGACAAGAAATCAATGGAACATCAAATGTTTATCAAATTATCTTTAAAAAAGTATTACGGCTGGAAGTTAGTAACGGATTTCAGTTTGGAAAAACTCAAATCGAATTTTAGAGTAACTATAGAAAATAAACATCGGTTATCTAGTATAGTATTGTGATAAAATCATGATATGAAAGAGTCTTGATTTAACAAGATTTTTTATGCAAATTAAACAATGCATGTTTTGCGATGAGATTAATGGTCTTTGGATTTGAAAACGAAATAAAAATATGAAATTAGAGACATCATAATAAAGATAATATCTAATTCACCTAATTAACCGTGACTACTATCAAGGTAACGTACCAATATCACTCGATGTACGAATACTAAGAATCTGAAAACTTTGAATTATCATTGCAAAAATATTCAAAAATAAATCAATTAATTAATACTTTAATAATTATATTATTGACTTGCGATATATCCTTAATTAAGAGAAACAATATTTTTAAAAGGCAGATACCATAAAATCATATTTAAATGAGATTTACTGGTATCGAACGAACTGAATTGTTCAAAGATTGTATATTTTTAGCTTTCATTAATAAGTTAATTGAACTGCTTTTTTAATAATCATGAAAACAAAGAACAAACTCTTCAAAATTAATCAAAGCCGAGACTCTGAGGAGTGGAAATCAAATTATATTTATAAAATAATCAATAATATATAGTATTTTGTTGAAGAGTATTCTGATAATAATAGCAGTAGTTGTGTAAATTAATATGAATTGTAATAAATATATTTTTGCTAAACTAATTTCAATACATTTTTTATAAACATATATATTAATGCAGATATTTAAATTAAGTAATAGAGTTAAATAATAAAGCGATTGCGCGCAAATTGAAAGAAGTTGTTATCATTTGTTGAAGTATCAGAGGTTATCGCCTGTTGGTTATTTATTTCTATTCATATGTTTCATTTTAATTTTCAAGAATAAGTCAAATTGCTGCCTATATTTTAGCGTAGCCAAAACGAAAACAAGATTATCTATTTACGACTATACGGATATAAATCTATATTAATATTGTTAGGTCAAAAGATTGGACAAGAACAGTAAATCAACGATTGTAATTCGTTGATGGTGACTATAAACAAATCAAGAAAAAACGACAGAAATAAAAATGTCTTATCAAACGCTAGTATAAAGTAAAATGTATCGATTAAAGCAACAGTTATTGCTTCAGCTCACACTGAGTTGGAAATCAATGTGATAGTTAATTAAGTGTTATAACGATTTTATATAACTTTCTAGCTCGTAGATGGCTCCTAGAGAGAAGATTCATGCTCCTTCGAGCTCTGGTTTAAATTACTACAGTAGCAGAGATGATGCGCTGAAGAACTCTGACGATTGGTTGGCGGATAAAATAAATGATGATCAAGCTGAAGGCCTTTGGAGGATCCACGACGAACTCTACGACCTCACGGATTATGTGGATCGTCATCCAGGAGGCAAATTCTGGCTCAAAATTACCAAAGTAAATTTGCTAATTGAGATAATCTAGAGGATGCTTTTATTTCTGTTCGCTTCCAGGGCACTGACATCACCGAAGCCTTCGAGACGCATCACATTTTCAGAGATCTGACTCCGATGCTTTCGAAATTCCACGTGAGGAAGGCATCCAAACCTAGGCACTCGCCTTTCACCTTTCACGATGACGGTTTCTACAGGACACTGAAAAGAAACGTGAAGGAATTTCTGAAAGATAAACCGAAAGTGTCTAATTGGAAATCGAAGCTTTTTAGCGATATTATGCTATTACTTACCTTCACATTATCGATTTTGGCAGCGCACTTTTGGTCCTACACCTTGGCCGTTCTTGCTGGATACTCCTTGACCTGTGTTGTAATCATCGCCCACAACTTCTTCCATCAAAGAGATAACTTTAGAATGCATTATTTCAACTTAGCTATGGAAACTAGGTACTTTTACTACAAAAAAAAAGGAAATTTTATTTTAATCACAAATTAATTCTTAGGGAGTGGCGGATTTCACACGTTCTAAGTCATCATCTGCTCACGAACACTATCTATGATATGGAGATCTCTTTATTCGAACCAATGCTTGAATATTTACCAGTCAAAAAGAGTTTTCTACAAAAGATCTTTTACGTCTTAATTTCCCCGTTGACCTACGCCACTTTATATCATATTTCTTTTCTCAAAAAGTACATTTTTAACCTTGGAACTTTCTGGGCAAAACTAACATCCTTCTTCTAGGGTTCTACTAATAGCAACTGGAAGAACCGAGCACGCCAGATGGCCACTTTTGATCAAATTCATTCTTCCCTTGGCGATGTATATATTCACCGAGCAGACCTGTTTAGCCTCTTTTGGAATGTGGAATTTCATTATCTTAGTATCCAGCGCTATATTTGGAACAATCGGTTTAAACGCGGCTCATCATCATCCCGAGATCTTCCACGATGGAGACGCCGTCAGGTACAATTAATTAATGCTTCAATACATTTATAATTACTTTTATAATTTTCTTTCTCAAAGAGATGACAGGGATTGGGGTATTTCTCAATTGGACACGGTAATGGATCGTAGAGACATATCAGGATTATTCTTGGTTTTAACCAATTTTGGAGACCACTGTCTTCATCACATGTTCCCGACTTTCGATCACGCCACACTGGATCAGCTTTATCCAGTCTTGAGGAAGACCTGCAAAGATTTCAACATAGACTTGAGGGTAACCACACAATTACATTTGGTAAAAGGACAATTCGAGCAGTTGCTCCGCACCGAACCCAACAAAAAAATAACAGATCTTCTCAAATATTCCAAGAAACAGATGTAGTTATTACTAAACGTTTTAAAATTTAATTTGACAAATAGTTTTATCTGCAAAGGTAATTACAATGTCTATTGGTGAAATAAATGAATTTATTATTTGTTGATATTTGAAAAAAAAAATTGGACAATAATGTTTAAAATAAACTAATAAAATGAGTTCAAAAAATTATTATTTATTTTGTGTTAAGTTTATAATAATAATAATAATGTTTATTGCATCAGTCGTGCAAAAAAAAACATATACAAAAATAAAAAGAACAAAATAAATATATATAAGTTCAAAAAAGTCAACTGATAGAAAGTGCTATTGACCATTGGTCTTTCTGCTCTTTAAGTTTATATTTTGTTAATTTGTTTTTATAGATATTATTTTATTATATTTTCTTCATTCCATGGAAAGACTACGGTTTTGGTTCTAAATCCGCTTAAATAAAATATTAAATAAATAAGTGTTTTGTCCATTTAATCAATAAATCAATCAATTATAACGTTTTCAATATAATATTGCAATTTACGTTATTAAATTTAAATAGAAATATAGATATAAACTTGAATTTAAAAACATACAAATTTGTATTACGGCCAATATTAATTTTATAACAAAACAAAATCCGAGTAAATTTAATCCGTTACAAGTTTTTAAAATATGATTTAATGTTATCTAGGCATCGAAGGTAATCGACACAAGACTTCTTAGGTAAATAGGTCAATTACAATAATGCAAATATAAACTGAAAATAAAAACTTCTGAAATATGTAAAAAAAAATGTAGCAAGAAATATATAGAAAATATTTATTAAATAGAAAAAAACATTTAAAATATATAAATTTTAGAGTAAAAGCATGTATGCTTATTCTAATGGTAAAGAATTTAACAATTTTTTTTTCTATTTGTTGACCATGTCTTCTAATTTCTACATCTATGTCCAACTCCTTCTCCCTTTTTGATTGCTCTTCCTTCTTTTAATTTTGTCAGTTCTCTCTTTATCTTCTATCATCATCTGTATAGCTTTCATATTTTTTTTCATATGTTCGTTTTGCAGTTTTGCAATTCCCAAATTAATTTCTGCTTCTCTTCTCATACTTCCTATTTCTTTTTGGCTCATCATCACTTCCACTTTTTTATTCATATTTGTAATTTGCTGCTTAATTTTCACTATATTCCTAATCCTTTCCTTTGGATGAATCCGTAAGTTTTTCCAGAAATGTATTCCTTGGATATTTTGTCTACCTCCTCTTGCCTTTTACGTTTCTTCTCCTTCTTTTTAGTACTTCTATTAGGCGTTCTAATGCTTTCCTCTAGATGATTCCATATGTTTTTCCAGAAATGTAATCGTTTGCGTTACTATGTTTCCCTGTTCTTTTAACACAATATTATTTAACAAAAATAACAATCTTACCATTGCCATATTATAATTAACAACATATTCGCTATTATTATATCTAACTCCTCTCTAATCAATTTTTATTTCTTTGTCTTAATTTGGGTGTTCTTTTTGGTTTATTGCCTTTATAGCATCAATACTTTTTCTATTTGTCAATTTGATGCAAATGCAATTAATTTGTGTTTCCCTTATGTTACTCTCTTCTTCCATTTATCTTTATGAACAAGAAGTTTTATGAGAACATCAAACGTACTGTATAATTCCATACGTTCGTCTCCACAAATCGTCGATAAATTTAATAGTTTATTATGATTACCAAATGATAATTAATAAAGTATATATTTAATTATAGAGTAAGTAGATTATGAAGGGCAATTATATTTTTTTGCAACTCGTGGCTGTTCTTTAAGTACACACTTGTATTTACCTTATATTTATAGTACTGCACTAAATACAATAATGCAAATATAAAATGAAAATAAAATACTCCTGAAATATGAAAAAGAAAAAATGTAGCAAGAAATTTTAGTTTTATATATAGAAAACATTTATTGAATAGACAAAAAAAACATTTGAAATATATAAACTTTAGTGTAAATGCATGTCTGCTTATTCTCCTGGTAAAGAATTTAACAAATTTTGTTCTATTTGTTGGGCTATGTCTTCTAATTTCTTCATCTTCTTGGCTTTCTTGTTCTTCTCTTACTTCAGTGTCCAATAAATTCTCTTCGATTTGTCTCGATTCTTCCTCGAATAATTTGTCTACTTCCTCTTGCATTTTACGTTTATTCTCATTCTTTTCTTTTTTGGTCGCACGTGTAATTTCCTCCTTTTCTTTTTTGGTCGCACGTGTAATTTCCTCCTTTTCTTTTTGCGATCTTCTCATTTTAGCAATTTGAATGTCCAACTCCTTCTCCTTGATTGTTCTTCCTTCTTTTAATTTCGTCAGTCCTCTCTTTCTCTTCTATCATCATCTGTATAGCTTTCACCATTTTTTCATTTTGCAGTTTTGCAATTCTTAAATTAAGTTCTGCTTCTCTTTTCATACTTTCTATTTCTTTTTGGCTTATCATCACTTCCACTTTTCTTATTCATATTTGTAATTTGCTGCTTAATTTTCACTATATTCATGGCGTTGTTGAAGTCCCCTTTTTTATTTAGTACTTCTATTAGACATTCTAATGCTTTCGTCTGGATCATTCCGTATGTTTTTCCAGAAATGTAATCTCCTCTCTAATCAATTTTTATACCTTTGTCTTAATTTGGGTGTTCTTTTTGGTTTATCGCCTTTATAGCATTAGTACTTTTTCTATTTGTCAATGTGATGCAAATATAATTAATTTGTGTTTCCCTTATGTTACTCTCTTCTTCCATTTGTCGTAGTACAATTTTCTCATTTGTTCCTTGGCATTATTCAATTTATCTTTTTGAACAAAAAGTTTTATGAGGACATCAAACGTTGTCTTCTGTATAATTCCATAGGTTCGTCTCCACAAATCGTCGATAAATTTAATTGTTTATCATGATTACCTAATGATAATTCATAAAGTATATATTTAATTATAGAGTAAGTAGATTATGAATGGCAACTATAATATTTTGCAACTCGTTGCTGCTCTTTAAGTTCACACTTTGTATTCACCTTATATTTGTAATACTGCACTAAATACAATAATGCATATATGAAATGAAAATAAAAAACTCCTGAAATATGAAAAAGAAAAAATGTAGCAAGAAATTTTAGTTTTATATATAGAAAATATTTATTAAATAGACAAAAAAAATATATAAATTTTAGAGTAAATGCATGTCTGTTTATTCTCCTATTTAAGAATTAAACAAATTTTGTTCAACTTCTTCCACGTCTGCTAATTCTTCCATCTTCTTAACCTTCTTACTTTTCCTTCTCTTAAGTGTAACCTTTTCCTTAATTTGCAATAATTTCTCTTCGATTTGTCTTGCTTCTTCCTCGGATATTTTGTCGTCCTCTTCTTGCCTTTTACGTTCCTTCTCCTTTTCTTTTTTGGTCGCACGTGCTATTTCCTATGAAAAGTACAGTCATTTTAGCAATTTGTATGTCCAACTCCTACCTTTTTTCTTAATTTCGTCAGCTCTCTTTTTCTTCTATGATCATCTGTACAGATTTCATCATCTTTTTCATATGTTCGTTTTGCAGTTTTGCAATTCCCAAATTAATTTCTGCTTCTCTTCTCATACTTTCTATTTCTTTTTGGCTTATCACTACTTCCACTTTTTTATTCATATTTGTAATCTGCTGCTTAATTTTTGCTATATTGCTGAAGTCCCCTTTTTTTATTTAGTACTTCTATTAGGATGTCTAATGTTTTCCTTTCGATCATTCCGTAATTTTTCTTCCATAAAGTTCTAAATCGATTCGATTTATTTTAATTATCACCTCACCATTGAAATTAAGCAAAAAACAGAAAAAAATGCTGAGGAAAAAGTTAATAAAGTTTTAATTTTAAGCTAGATTTTAATAAACAAGATGTCAACTGCACACGTTACAGATATGTTATTTATGTATGTTGGTGACAAAATGTGTAATTTAGATATACACATTTCATCAATTTTCATTATTTCTGAAGTGCTTTTTCAAAACTACAATTGCCTTTCATCATAATTTGTACCTTTCACAAAATCATTACAATATTCAATTGTTTCCCAGAAACCATCTTTTGTTTTTATTTAAATTATGATGGGCGAGCAAAGCCCTAAAAATTGTATTTTAATACAAATGTAAATGTAATACACTTTACATTTATTAATATGAACCTGCAAAACAAACGCAGTTAATTAAAATCGACTTTGTGGAAACTGTGTGTACATCAAACGATGCATGTAATTTTTGGTAAATACGTTCATTCCGTTACGAAATTAAGTGTTTTTGCTCTGTTTAACCCCACGCAGTTAGAATGTTACTGCATTACGAATCTATATAGATGTAGATACAAACACTAATACTCCCTCGACTAATTTAATATACACAAACCAATTTATAATATTACAATTTTAAACAAGAATTTTAATATTCCAATTAGATTTTACATATTTTTTGGTAAACGCGCCGCTTATTGATCATCATTTAGTCCAGTGCTCCCCAACCTTAGACCGCGGACCGATCAACGTTTGATAATTTTACCGTGGCCCACTGAGGGGGGGGGAGTTAATACAGTTACATCAAAAAATGAATATAAAGTAATTTAATATTTAACTTACTAGATTCTAGTGAGTTAAAATAAAATGGAAATAATTTAATGTTCCCATTTGATCCAATAGACAGCTGTCATAGGTGTCAAAGGAAATCTATACTGGATTCTATGGAAATGTACTATTACTTAACTAAATTTTTATATCCATTATTGCGAATAGGAACATGCGAATATTTACATGCATTATCACAAGAAATCATTGGAACAATTTAGAAATTTAATTATTTATGATTTAAGTTTTTTTTACAGCTGGCTTGATTTTAATAACAAATTTCAAATTGGAAAAACTCAAGTCGAGTAAATATTCAAAATAAACATAATAATACATCGGTTATTTTGTGAAAGATCTTTGTTTGTTGGTTGTCCTTCTTGGAAAGATTTTCAGTAATGTTCTAATAATTTTTACCAAAAATTATTGGATAAGTGCTGTTCCCCAAAAAATCCATTAGAAAACAACTTCACATTATGTGTAGCATATAATTGATATTCTGGAACCATAATTATAGCATGAACCT